TTTTGTACGAGCTTTCAAACACTTGTTGCATCTATGCGCAAAATCTTAGGCAATAATTGGTGCTTTTTCATTGAGGGCCACGCATTAAAAATGTTCAAAAATGTCTTCAATATGGGAAAAATACCATAAATCCTCTAGAATAGCTCCAGGGGCCATTTTTTCGATTTCTAAATTTACTAAAACTAAAATTTATTACCAAAAAAGGAAGGTTTCTTTAATTCTTTATCTCCAAAATTCTCAAGTTTTTCCTTTAGTGCTAAAAAGGTAGAAATCCTAGAAATCTAGCTTCTTGTACATAGGAAATTTCAAAAATTTTCGTCTTCGTCGCTCAAAAGTGCTCAAAGTGAGGATTTCTGCCTGCATATCAGGGATGATCGAATTCTTTTTATTTCAAATCGAAACGAAATAAAAAATTCCTATTTCGTTTCGGAGCGAAACGAAAAGAAATGAGCTCGTTTCGGACGAAACGAAACGAAATAAAATAAAAATTAAAAAATATTTATTTTTAAGTTCAAAAAAGCTTTTAATTGATATTTAAATCATAAATATGCACCCCAATAGCTAGATGCGTGGAAAAGCATATCAGAAACAAGAGTGGACCTTACAAATCTGCCGATATCCATCTTAATCCACTTAAATCGACATATATCCGCCTTAATCCTACTATATCCTATTAAATCTTGCGATATATCCAAATTCACTTTGGAGTATAAGTGAATTTGGATGAATTTGGACTTTTTTTCAAATTTGCCTTTAGATATCGATCAAGAGGGATATTAAGTGAGATAAAAGAGATATCTTATATATCCCTTGAGATATTTTCTATTTCCCTTCTATATCCTCTCCCAAAACCACCGATATTCACTTAATCCATAAAATCTAAATATACACAAAATCCCCCGATATCCCCTTGAAAATATTAAAATTTTCACCCGCGGCGCTGAAAAAGGAAGAATTCTGGCTCCATCGATGTCTCCTTAATTCTGTTTGGCCTTACCAAATTCTCAAAATTTTAGTCTCAGGCACAGAAAAAGGAAGAAAATTGGAAGCCATAGTGAAGGTAACGAGAGTGCTATTCTCAATAACCACATATCCCTCTTAATCCCCAAATTCCCTGATATCGCTTTTAATCACCCAAATCCCACTTTATCTCTAATCTCTTCAAATTTGCCTCTCTTGATACCCCTCAAAATCCAATTATGCAAGATAACTTGTCTCTCTACAATTTACCAATTTCCCTTTAAATTGACATATATCCGCCTTAATCCAATTTGGAGTACAACTCCAGCATATTCGAATTTTGTTTTCAAAATTTTTTAATATTTTTAGGTTACAAATATAAAGATTTAGGACTATGGTAGGTTGGGCGGCGGAAGGCTGGTCTGCTCTAGCAAAACCCGTAAAATCTTTCTTCCTCCTTTTTAGCGCCCCAGGCGAAATTTTTTGAATTTTAGGCTGCTCATAAGGCAGAAATCATAAAAAATTAATGATTATTTCCTTAAATTCGCGTCATTAGGGGTGTTTTGGATGGACTATCCTCACCATTGTTTATAAACTTCAATTTTACTCGTACTTTATTCAATTTTACTCGTACTTTCAATCTCTCGTACCTACCTCGAACTAGAGATTAGAGTCCGGCACGGGACGGGACCCCGTACGGGATTTTACGGGATCCCGTCTCGGAACCCCGGGTTTTTAGCGACAAACGGGATTACCGGGATTTACGGGATTAATCCCGCGGGATCCCGTCCCGGTCGAATTTTGAAACCCAATCACTTTCCGGGATCCCATGAATTTTTTTCAAATTTACGGGATTTATAATTACTCCAGTAAACTGCCTGCGGCGCTGAAAAAGGAAGAAATCTGGCTTCTTGGGCTTCTAAAATTCTTAAAATTTTCGCCTGCGGCGCTCAAATATGAAAAATGTAATGACTTGGGCTTCCAAAATACGCTAAAAAGGAAGAAAGCTGGCTCCTTAGCCTTCCATAAGCTGGCTTCTTAGGTCGAATTTTGAAACCCAAAATTTTTAAATCCTTTCAAAATTCGAAAAGCTTTGCATGTGGTGCATGGATTACGAGTATTAAGAGGGATTTGGAGGAAAATAGGGTTGTCAGGGAGTTATGTATTAAGAGATATATAGTGGATTGGGGATTAAGAGTATATTAAGGGATTAGGGGAATTACCCACATATATCCATTCAAATCTAATTGAGCCATCTAAATCCGCTATTTTGACCTTAACCCACCGTTCTTCAAATCACCCTTTATCACTCCAAATATTTACCGATATCCCCCTAAATCCACCTATAAGCATTAAAATGCTCTTAATCTCTCTTAATCATTTGATATCCCTCTTAATCCTCTGTTATTTATTCATTCCGGTACTTTCCTGTTATCGGCCCTCCATTTTTTCTTCCTTTTTTTTCAGCCACTTTTGTACAGAATGGTCAGATTTTCTTTCTTTCTTTCTCAAATTCACTCCATTTCAGATTGGCATATTCAAATGAAACATTAATGAAGAAAAGTTACGGAAAAAGTCCTAAAGACGCGACGAATACACAGAAAATTGAATTTGAGAAAGAAAGAAAATCTGACCATTCTGTATAGAACTAGGGAGAAAAAAGGAAGAAAAAATGGAGGGCCGATAACAGGAAAGTACCTTCATTCCTTCCTTAATCTGTCGAAATCCACCGATATTATTTCCAAATCCGACGATATTCAACATACAGTGCTCCACATAACTATACTTCCACCCCTATTTTCGTGTTTTTCCCTGTTCGACCCCAAAATTTTTTTAAATTATCGTTTAAATATTGTCCCCAGGTAACTAAAAGACTAAGAAAAAATTAATATCTAATTTCGGCTTAAAATTACTAGAGTTCTAAATATTTTGTTGGAAATACCTCCACATAACTATACTTCCACTTCCCAAAAAATTATTTCCAACGTTAGGAAAAATCTACAAAAATTTCAGCAAACTTATATCCTTATATTATGAAAAAATAAAAAAAACTAGGCAAATATCTTTATCATAAGACGAGATCCTGATACCTCGAAAATCAACGTAAAACAGGGGTAGGCCACTTTAAAAAATATTTTCGACCTCTTATTGATTACTGTAAATTTTAATTTGGGCACATTCGAAAGCCCTTGAAATTGCTAATTTTTTAGATTTTTCCTAACGTTGGAAATAATTTTTTGGGAAGTGGAAGTATAGTTATGTGGAGGTGATTTCCAACAAAATATTTAGAACTCTAGTAATTTTAAGCCGAAATTAAATATTAATTTTTTATTAGTCTTTTAGTTGCCTGGGGACAATATTTAAACGATAATCTAAAAAAAATTTGGGGTCGAACAGGAAAAAACACGAAAATAGGGGTGGAAGTATAGTTATGTGGAGCACTGTATTTATAATTAAAAAAATTTAATTGTTAAAATCCCGGAATCCCGGCGGGATCCCGGCAAATTTGAGAACGGTATTTACGGGATTAATCCCGCGGGATCCCGTCCCGTACAAAATTTTGAAAAAAAAATCCCGTTCCGGGATCCCGGGATGCGATTTTGCCGGACTACTAGAGATTTCCAAGACTTTTGGTCTTGAGTCTTGACTCAACTTTTCTTAGGGTTTTTCGGTCTTGGTCTTGGGGTAAAGTTTGGATTCCTTATTTTATTTCCAAAAAAAGAAATCTGGCTTGTTGGCCTTTCAAAATTCTCAAAATTTAAGCATGTGGCGCTGTCGATCATATTTGATTCGCCTGCGGCGATCATACTTGATTTGTCCGATTGGAAAAGAGATAGCGCTTATCGAAAGCTTTCGAATGATATAAGAACTATTCGGAATGGAGAAGTTATAGCTGATCAAAGTCGGCTGGTGCTCAACTGGCCCGCTCCGTGGATTCATATGTTTATTTTCCCGCCACTTTTTCTTTTATGTTGGCAAAATGACCGTTCAAAATTATTTCGGTATTTCTCTAATCTCTTTCTTTTCATTCTTTTATTTTGAATATATAAGTTATTTTTCTAATTTATTTGCAAAACAAAACTTGTCAATATTAAACAAGAAATTCCCATATTTTTAAATCAATTTTAACCTACTAATTTTCATTAACCTACTAATTTTTCGGATTTCTATAATTTTGTACAAACAAATTCGCCATCACTAAAATTAGGAAATTAAAATTATTTTTCTATTTTTTATTACAAAATTTTAGATAACTTTAAATTTTTTTAAATATTTCATTTATGGAACCGAGACCTGTTGACAGTCCTGACCCTGTAAGTTTCAACAAATTCTTGTTCACGAAAGAGACCCTAACCCCAAAATGATTTTAACATTACTTAAGAAAATTTCTTTTGAACAAGAAAACCCTACTCTAGTACAAAATCTAAGCAGATAGGAATTTATAAAATTTAACTTATTTTTATAAATAAATTTTTAGTTAAAGCGCGCCGCTAAACGTCCGTTGCATGTGACTGGAAGTTCGGAAGAAGGGGGTACGCCCTCAAAGAAGAAGTACAACACAACATGGTTAAAGCGTTTAGAGGGTGACATTTGTCCAATTTGTTTGTCTGTAGTCTCTAATAAATGGGCTCGGCATTGTTCCACATCACACCCAGACTTTGTTTCATCTCCTTATGATAATGTGTTTATTGGCGAAGAAAAGGTCTTTTTTTATTTAAAATCTCTATTTATTATCTACCTAGCAAACCTTCTTTAGAAACTATAGGGGTGGAAATCCGGAACGTCTTATATTACCGGAAGCTTAAAATACCAAACCCCCCAAAAGCCCTTAAAATAACAAACTATGAAATACCAAAAAATCTTAAGATCGTAAATAACAAAGAAATTTTATTTGGTATGTTTTCTTCAGTTCGCTATTTCAGGCGTTTTGGAGGTTTGGTATTTCGAGCTTTTGTTATTACAAGCTTATACCATCACAACGGTTATATGTTAACTTTGGGTCCCATTTATTTTTTATTAAAGTAAATAAAATTTTCTAGGTTAAGACGTTTGTTGTGAGTTGTGTTCTTGCTTTGGGAGGAACTAATGCTTATGGACAGCAATTAGCTGATATAATTGTATTTGCCGATAAGAATGGTTTTTACAAGTAAATTATTTTAAAAATTATATTTGATCTTTTAAAATTAACTTTTTAGGCAGGGTTTAACAAGACTTGAAAAGTATTTATCGGAAAGTGGGAAAGGTTTATTAAATTTTGATTTAAAATTTTGAAAATTTAATCAAGCTGAGCCATTACTTGTTCGTGAAAATGTTGTTTCTGTTCACTACGATGGGAATGGTGCGCCTGGAGTTGTTGTTGGAAATCTCTGCATCAATAAAGCTATGAATATGGCTAGTAACTATGGATATGGAATTGTTACAGTTGAGAACTGTAAAGATATTGGCACTGCACAGTTTTACACAGATATTTTGGCCACGAATGGAATGACAGTTAGTGAATTTGCTATTATCTTTTATTTTTCTAATTTGTATAGTTTTTTAAATAAGGGATCGGGCTTTCAATTACTAAACCTTCCGAAAGAAACCTTTCGTCACTGACATGAGACATTTTTTATCAGCACGATAATTTTGTTTAAAATGACTAAGTGAGTCTAATTTTTATTCTACTGCTTTAACTGTGAATCTAAATGGTAGGAAGCAGTAAAGGAATCCAAAATATCAATAACCGTAGATTCCTGTTTGATTCATATGGGGCAATTACATTGTCCTCTTTCATGACAGGACATTGCAGAGGTCTGCCAAATGTTTCAAAAACATTTACGAGTTAAAAGTGATGAGCCCTGATCTAGTTGAAAAATGAAAAAAATTTTTCTTCAGATGTGAGCCCAAATTAATAAAATATAAAATTATGTTCAAGTAGTCATTTTAGGCAAAATTCGGGTTATGTCTCATATCAATGACAAAATGTTTTTTGACAGGCTTAGTGAAAGCTCAGTAATGAAAAGTTAAATAACCTTACCATGTTAAATGATAGGAACGTGTTTTATCTAAAAAATTAACATAGTCTGAGATAGTTTACTATTTATTATAATATCTTGGTTTAAAATTAAGTGTAAAATATTTTTACCATCGAATCCTCTTATTAGCATTTACTATATATTTTATTAAAATTTTAGGGATTCGTTTTTTCTGGTGATGACGGTCCTCTAAGTGTTGCAACAATCGATAAATCTTTTGAATTTTTAAATATCACTCCAGAATGCCGTGTTATTTTGTCTTGCTTTGCTACAATCTCGGTATTTAATTATGTATTGTTTATTAATTTTTTTAAAAAATTTATATAATATTTCCGAACATCCAATTTTATACCTAAAATAAATAAATTCAATTTATTTTATTCTTTAGCACAAATTCTTCTTTGCCAAGTCTCCTAATCACGAATGTTTTCTGGACGCTTTGGTAAGAATAATTTTATTTAATAGATAAATGTTCGATAATTCGGAATTATTTTTATTATTTTTATCAAAAATAATTTTTTAGAAAAATTTTTAATTTTCTCTAGACTTTGTCTAATGATGCCATTGTTATTACAAAACAACGAAAGCAGGTTTATCAACAGAAATTTGATGATATGAAGGGGTTGTGTTATTTGAAAGAAAATATTGCTAAGATGGTATGTTTTCGTTTGATAATTTAATATACATAAAATAAAAATTCTCTTTCAGAACGAATATGCTATTAAGCGTGGAATACATCCAGACAACTTGTTGGAGGCTCTTACAGGAGCGAGTGTTAGTGGTTCGACTTAAGTTTTGTTTTGAATTCGAAGAACATTTGATAAAAAATATTTTTACAATAAATAAAAATGATTATTGTTTTGAATAAATACAAAATATTTGTTGAATATTTAAAGTAAATTAATTACTGAAAGTTTTAGTGAATATTATTTAAGTACTAGTATTAGCTAAGTTTTTGAAAAAAACACAAATTACTTGTTGTTAATTTAGAACTGACAGACATTTAATCTCAGATAGTCTATGTAATTTGCTTAAAGTAATGACAAAAACGTTAAAAACTTCGTTCTAGATGAGTAAACTAAAAAATTTTGGTACTGTGTTCATATCCCGCCCCTCACCTATATTTGAGTCTCAGATTAATTTTCCTTTTTACTGCCAATCATTCATTTCCCTCAAATTATAAGTAAAATGCAAGCTTTTAGGAAGGAAAAAATAGACGGTAACAGCAAAAATTTATAAAGAAGGAATGTTGACAATTCCCAGGCAGAAAAGAATAAATCTGAGACTCACATAAGGGTGGGGACGGGATATGAACAAAATACCAAAATTCTTAATCATGGAGATGAATTTTATATATTGAGCGTTTAATCTAGTTGAGCCGTTTCGAGATATTTTTAGTACATATTAAAATCGACATTCGAAATTTTTAGATTAAAATTTTTAGAAAAAATGAAAAAGAGAAAATTTGGGCGCTTTACATTTTAGAAAAAATTTAATTTGGCTTTTTAAATTATTATACAAGCTTTGCTTCGTTCATCAATTTTACCCGACAATAAATTACTCTTTTCAGCAAGTTGTAATAAATGCTCATTTAACTTGAAAATATTATTTTAAATAATTTTTTTTTTAATTTTATTTTTTACCTTAGCCCTTTCTTTATCTCTATCAAGTGCTTGACATTGATAAAGAGTAATTCGATAAGTTCCTAAAAAATAAAAAAAAATATTTTCAAAATTTGTATTTTCTCTGGAATATAAATTAAGGGATAATTTGTACCCATACCGCACGAAAATTGGAAACTTTTTCTATATTCTCTTCTAATTTATAGTAAATCTAACCAATAACAGGATTTCTAGCTCCTTTACTTTTAGCAACACTTCTAAGCATTTCTTCAGTTATTCCATAACTTTGTAATTGGGACCAAACAAGTCTTTCCAATTTACAATGGGCCAATGAATGTTCATTTGGATTTAAAGATAAATTTACATAAGAATCGGGAAATTTACATTCACTTAGCCAATATGTTCTCTTAATTAAAAAAAATTTTCTTTGGAATATAAATTATAGGGAACCCCAACATATGTACATAATTTAAATTTATTTAATTAAATTTATTTTTAATATTTAAATAGAATTTTTAAATTTTTCCTAAAAGAGAATAAACTGTTGCTTCATGTTTTTAGTTTGAAAAAAGTTTTTCAAGTAACTGCCACACTAAATATTAGATAGAATTGGTTTAAAGTAGAGATCGGAAATTTTGAAAAGCCTGGACCTGTTCCTGGACTCTGGAGTTTGATTTCTTGACTAGACTGGATCCTGGGTCTGTAGCCCATGAAAAACCCAGGAAGGTCAAAAAATGCCTGGACCTGGACGCTGGGTACAGGAAAAACCCAGGCTTTGGTCCAGACCCAGGCCGATCTCTAGTTCTAAGATACACCGCTTATTTTATTCTCTCTCAACTTTCAGTCACTTCCATAATATTTTTAAATACCTTAAGTTCCAAAATATTAGCCCTTCTTTTAGCATCCAATTCAAGCATTCGAGTAATTGAATGTTGTGCAAACGTTGAAACTTTTTTTAAATAATAATTTTTTTGAATATTCTTTTTAATTTAATTACCATAATCAGGCATATAATAAACCCCTTCCAAAATATCTTTTTAAATCAGAAACAGTTTCTCCACGAAAAGGAGTAACACCAACAAGCATAAAATAAAGAAGTATTCCCTTAATATTTTAATTAAAAAATATTTTTTTTAAATTCACAACATTTTTAGATTTTATTAAATTTGTTCATAATTTTTGTTGTAAAAGTGAATTTAAGAGATAATTAAAAGACGATTGTTGGACCTCACTAAAAAATATATTCGTTAAATTAGGTTGGCTATTGGGTAAAAGAAAGCTGTGTATTGGTGATGCTCGGATATCCCGACTCCCGAAATCATTTCCCGAACCGACTCACGTTTCCCGGGGTTTTTCTTCTCCCGAGCATCACTAATGTGTATACGCTCCAATTAATGCAAAATTCATTATTAAGATACAAATTATTTCAGAATTATGAAATAAAAGTGAGGTCCAACAGCAACGGAATAAAATTTAAGACACGATTTTTGGAAAGTAAAGGGAAAGATATATTTTTAAATTAAAATTAGAGTTGATAAAATTATTGTCAGTTTTTTTTTTGAATTCAAAATTTGAAACTTAATTGTTAAAATCAGAAAAAAATTCTTAAAATTAATAACTCTAATTTTAAATAAAAGAGAAAATAAGCTATATTATTAATTTGAATGGAATGAAAAACAAGCTGCTTTTAAATTAAAAGATATGAGTGTAGGGTCAAAAACTGAAATAAATTTCAATCAACAAAATTCCAAAAAAATCCAAAAATAAATTAGACATTTTGTTGATTCTTTTAAAATTAAATAATCAAAGCTGCACATTTAAGTATATTCTTTTGCTGCTCTCCAAAAATAATTTAGGTATTATTAATTTATGGGGCACCCCAAGTAGGCACACGGGCCAGTAGGCGCAAAGCCATAACTAGCTGGAAAATTCCTGGCCCTTATCAATTTTGGTACCAATCACTTTACCTCAAATAGAAGAATCATTTATTACAAAATTTAATAAAATTCGGGAATCCTGAAATAAGTTATGGCTTTGCGCCTACTTGGGCTGACCCTTAATTTATTATTTGCCTTCTTATAACAGAAAAAACTCTGCGAGACTCTCTTCTCCATTTTTCTCTTTTTAAACAGAATCTTCCTTGTTAAAAATTAACGGGTTTACATACTCAAATCCATCAAATTCGGCTAAAAAATTAAAAAATAATTTTTCAAATTATTCAAAAAAATCCTCTTACATTGGTCAATACGAGCAATGACTTCTGGTTCATCTAAAATTTATCAAATTTACATAAAATTTTATTTTGCCAAAAAATACCAGGAGTAAGCGCCGGATCCTCATTTGTAAAACTAGTGTCAAATCGTTGCAAATCCCTGTCACCATTAATATTTGGATTATATGGAGGGGTGATTCGGCGTTCAACAAGCTAAATAGATAAAAAAATTTTTTATAAGGAGTTATAATTTTAACAAGCAGTCAAACCTCCTTATAAGAAAATAAAAATTGAATTGAGGATACATATGACTTAAGAACTTTGGGAGAATAACGAAAAGACCTGATTGCTTTCAGCGCCGCAGGGAAAAATTTTTAAAATGTCAAAAAGAGACAAAAAAGTGGTGATAAAAAAAGGCAAGGTCAAAAAAGGGTGAGACTTTTGTAAGATACCCTCATTTAATTGTAACCGCAAAGGTATAGGGAGGTCCCGACTTTATAAAAAATAAAAATAAACCAATTCCCAATCAATGCTGTATCTGAAGAAAGCATTCGTTTTTATGTCATTAAGTCCTTCCTCCAAATCAGGCTTACATCCCAATCTTTCGTTTTGATCCTTGTTCAAGAAACCCTTAAAAATTACTTTCATAAAATAAATAATAAAAAAACAATTTTTTAAACCTTTAATACATTTGCAGCACGGACACTCAAATTTCGAGGAATACGGATTTGTCTTTCCAAAATAACTTGAAACAGAAAATCCTGAAAAAATATTTTTTTAGGAATAGTTAAGAATAAATTTGCCCCTCCTTAATTTTATGAATTTAACAATAAGAAGGAAGACGACCTAAAGGGAATAAGACCTAAGGAATTCAGTCCAGTTATCATCTATTCAAGTCGACCAGGACCTTCTCCCGGCGTTTCTGCTAATTTGTTTATTTGATCGTTAAATAACGATCGATTCTCTCTCCTTTTTATTGGCGAAATACTCTGGGCCACCTCCTGCGGAACCCAACGACTCTGGCCCAAAGAGTATAATAATATTAATTATTTGCTCTAGAAATTTTAATGGAATAAAACAACCATCAAAAAAGCTTTAATTTTATAAACTAAAAACCTCAGAATATTCCTGATATTCTTCTATAGGTGCTTGAAAAGGCGAACGCCCAACCATCATTTCGAACATTAAAACACCCAGAGCCCAAAAATCAACGCTATATCCTTTAAATATTTTCATAATTTAAAAAATAATTTTTTAACCAACCATAGTCTTCCCCTCGAAGAATTTCCGGCGCAATATAATTTGGAGTTCCACAAAATGTTGAAGTCAAATCATTTGGCCCAATATTTTCTTTACACATTCTGAAAAAATAAATTTTATAAAAATACAAAAACAAACCCAAAATCAGTCAATTTGACATGTCCTTCAGCGTCTAATAGTACATTATCCAATTTTAGATCTCGATAAATTATGCCTGAAAAATAATGATGTATTTTATAATAAGAGAGGCTTATGGAGATCTTAAAAACACGCAATGGGTAAACAGTTTTGAGGTCGAAAAATAAAAAGGATCTAAAATCTAGTGGAAAGTATCAAGGGCGTAGCCAGGAAGAGGCCTCCTGAAATTAGTGTGCGGCAGTATTTCGTCTAACGGGATTATATGTTATTACATGATTATTTGCCCTCTTCAGGACGGTTGTGTAGTTGATCACTCTCTCGTTTTGAAAAGACTCAGAAAAACTGACCAGTGATCGGATGCGGTCAGAGAAGAGTCTCGTTGTCTGCTCTAATCTCAAAATGTACGCAAATTTCTGCGTCTTTTCAAAACGAGAGTGGTCAACTACACAGCCGTCCTGAAGAGAGACATATAATCCCGTTAGGCAGAAAATTTCCGCACACTACCTGAAATTGAACCGCTGGCTACGCCCTTGTAAAGTATTAGGGGGCTCACAAACAATAAACTACTCGAAAAACAAGGTACGAAATTCGGAATCCATACGATAAGTATCCCTCATTGAACTCAAATGCAAGAATAACGCGATTGAAAATAATAAAATACCTCTAGTATGCAAAAAATGTAGAGCTAAAATAACTTCAGCAGAATAAAAACGTGCATGTTCTTCAGGTAGTTTGTGTTGTCTTTGCATATGGAACATTAAATCACCGCCAGGGATAAATTCGATGACATAAAAGAGGCGAGAAGCAGTCTGGAAATAAGCAAAAAAAATTAAAAAAATTCTGAAAAACCTGAAAACAAGAATGCAATCCAACAAGAAAGGGATGGTTGGAAGCCGTTTCCAAAACAGATTTTTCTGTTTGGATCCAGTCAGTGTCCTTAAAAATTTTTTTGTTTGGAAGATTAGAGAAAAATTTGATAAAATCAGGCTTGTGCACTCCTCTTTTATCCGCTATACATAAGTCTCTTCAGAGCTTCTGTGATGATGGCCACTCTCTCACATAAAAAAGACGCAGAAATACTGACCAGCGGTAAGCTGCAACGAGAGAAATTTTTACTAATTTTCAGTGCCTTTTTTATGCAAGAAAGTGGCCATCATCACAGAAGCTCTGAAGAGACCTATTACAGATAAAAATAGAAAGAGTGCCGAAGCCTGGAAAAAAATTCCAAACCTCCTCATCAATACAGACAGTCTTCTTGATTATTTTTATCGCATAAATTTGGCCTGTTCGCCTAAAGATTGGTACAAAATTTCAAAAGTTAATCGTTTAAAAAATAAAAAAAACCTATGTTCAGCTTGCACAACTTTAGCATATGAACCACGTCCTATCACCGTAAGTAATTCAAAGTCATCTAATCCCATGCTCCACTGAACAGGTAAATCTCCCCCATTTCCAACTGTTCCACCAACTTCTAATAAATTGGGATCTGTTATTCCGTTCGTATTGGAAATTGTTCTTTCAATTTTTTGATGCTAAAAAATAAAGAAAATTAGAAAAATTTTTTCCAAATTTCAAATAAAAAACTACAGAAAAGACAAAAATTTGTTCATGTTCTGCCTCCACCCCTATTTGAGCCAAAACCTAATTTTCCTTTTATAGTCAACCCCTTATTAAAATTTATGTTAATTGCGCAAGAATTGGGAGGAAAAAGACGGAAAGTCCAGCAAAATCCACGTTCATAAAGAAATTCCACATTCATAATAGAGGTCGGCAAAATCACATTTGCATAATCCTGTATCAGACTTGAGTTTTGAAATTTCAAACAGGTCAGGATCCCTCAGGATTAATCCTGAAAACTGAAAAAAGGCAGGATTTCGGACAGGATCCTGAAAAATCCTGTGCAGGATCCTGCTCCGACCTCTAGAAATTAATTTGAGACTCAAATATTGGTCGAGGCGGGATATAAACAAAATAATAAAAAAAACCTCTGAAGGCACCAAATTTTCATCTCCTCTAATAGACGTAGCACTCTTCAAAGACGGCACTTTATGTTGAGAAATACCACCTCCTCCACTATTTTCCTCCCCTACCACAAAAGTTCTCGAACAACACTTTTCAGCAACATATTTATGACATTTTTTGTGTACACACATTCCACAGTCCATACATCGAAAACCTGCATGTCCCAATCCCCAAATTGTGTCCTCACACAAAGCACAGATTGTTCTTTTATTTAATCGTTTAGGCTGGAAACAATGCCCGCTGATGAAATATTTCTTTTTGTGAACCCAACGACGGGCGCCGCGTCGATAGACCGTTTTATCCTCGCCAGGGCAGGGAGCGCCTGGGGTTGTTGGCTGGCCGAGGAATACGTGGACCTTAAAAAATATTTTGATTAAAAGGTAGTCTTTAATAAAAGTCTAAAAAATATTTTAAGATTATTTTCTTAGTTAAGTCATTGAATTTTGTTTCCATTAAAACAAAATTTAATTGGTAAAAACCTTATTAAAACAAAAAGGGGTTTTATAGTATTTCTTGCCCATTTTCTCTGTTTCATCAGGGATCCCGTCGTCTCGATTCCCGAAAATCGGGAATTCCCGAGGATTTTTTGGGTCAGGATGCCGAATTGCCAAAATCGGGAATTTTTTTTTGTCGGCAGGATCCCTGTTACACATGAAAAATACAACTCAGATTTGCATATATGGTTGAAGGATCCCAGGAAATCATCGGATATACTGATTAGATATTCTAACTGAAATTTATCTAAATGAGGAGGAGGAACAATCAACCTCATAAAAAGCTAACAAAAATTGACTGGTTTAGCTCCCAGAGGTAAAATAAGGGAAAAATAGGGAATAGACAAAAAAGAAAAAAACGTAAAAAAAAGAAGAAACCGTAAAAAACAAATCCCGGTACACCTCAATTGAGTCCCGACTCGATTGAGTCCCGGACCCTATAACTTATGAAGGGATGGTCACTTTTTTCTGATCTTGGTACCATTGGATAGAGCATTAAATAGGCTACAACATACCAAAAAATCAAAATTCCTGACCGACTGGTAAAAAAGTCATGATTGATAAAGTGCCGAAAAATCCGATTTTTTTGAAAAAGTTGGTTTTTAGATCATAACTTTTTTACCAATTAATCGAAAATTTTGATTTTTTGGTATATTGTAGTCCATCTGATGCTCTATCTAATGGTACCAAAAACATTAAAAATTATTACCCCGTACTTGAGTTATAGGGCCGGGACTCAGTTGAACTGCTCCGACAAATCCAAAACAAAACAACCTTTAATTCAGCATCTCTAAATTCCAACGTAAGCTTGATTGCTTCAAAAAGTTCAATTTGTGAAGAAATAGTACAGGGATCATCTGTCACCAAAATTCTTTTAAAAATTAATTTTCCTCAAAAAAACCTTCATTATCAATCCATTTAACAGTAATTACTTGATTTGTATCCAATCTCAAAATTTCTCTCAATTTTGCATAAAATAGGTCGATTGTGATAATTTCAGATAAATAAACAATAAATACTTGACGTTCAAAATAAATTTTAATTTTTAAAGTTTCTCCTTCATTGAAAATTGAAAAATTGGCCATTAAGCCTGAAATGGCCATAACCCTGAAATTAAAGAAAAATTTTTGTTAAAAAAAGAAAAAAATCGCAAAAAATTCAAAAAAAAATTAAAAATTTAGAAAAAATTTTGACTGCGATGAAATCTCGCGATGAAACGGCAGATTGTTAAATTAAAGACCACTTCACTACCTCACTTTATAATTAAATTTAATGCTACTGTGTATTTGAGATCGACACGGGGGCGCTCCGACTCGGGCACAGTGATCCAACCCCTTCTAACAATATACCTTATAACAATAAGTAAAACCTAACACAAATCCACTTAACCACAAATTACTGTGCAGTCGTCCACTTGCAGATGCCCTTTGTGCAAAAGTCTTACTGTGCAAATGGATCACTGTGCCCGAGTCGTGTCACCGGCACGGGACTGGATCCAGCGCGGGATTTACAGGATCCCGTCCCGGAATCCCGGATTTTGAACGAAAAACGGGAGAAAAACGGAAATCCCGCGGGATCCCGTCCCGTACATAATGTTGAAAAAAATCCATTGCGGCCAAAAATATCTTTAGTCTGACTTGATCTTTCAGTCCGAGTCGGTCCATTTTGTCAACCCTAATTAAATTAATAAAACCCAAATTTTTCTTCTTTTTTACCTCCATTAATTAGGTCCCATTACCTTTACAGTCTTCTTAAAACTGATAAAAGAAAATTATCAGTTGACTTATTTTTATCGATTATTGCATTCATTCTTTTCTACATTTTAGTTAAAATTAACCAACGATCTCTGCAAAAATTAATTTTTAAAAATTGATTTAGAATACAAAATGGCCGCTTTTTTGTTTTTATTTATTGTAATAATAATTTTTGTTTTTTACAATTTTCATTATAAACGTAAAGGATTACCTCCAGGTAATTTTTGGGTAAATTTTTAGAGAAATTTTTTACGAAATTTAGAAAGAATTTAAATATAAATGGGAAATTATCAGAAGATTTTATACGGGAAACCATCTTTTGAGGACTGAATTTTAGGCTGTCAGGTCCCTAGGTTCCGTTTCTGGCAAGGGAAAGAACAGGCAAATAACGGAAAGTCTGAAAAAGAAAGAGTTTAGCAAAAGTCTAGCCACCGGGCAGGATTCGAACCTGAGACCTCCCCATACATAGTTATTGCTAGGCGCTTTCGCTCATAACATACAGGAGCTCTATCAGAAAGTGAGCTACGGGGCAATGACTAAAGCTTTCTCTTTTATCCTTTTAGATGGTTTAAGCGTTCCCATGTTCCGTTTCCAAGAACAGAGAAATAACGGAAAGTCCGCAAAAAGCCCACTTATTTTTTACAAGGACCCATATTTTCAATTTAAATTTCGAAAAAATTTTCAAGCTGGGCTGGCTAGGAGTAAATTAATGGGCCATGAAAAAACATGGGAGACAAAAAAACTTGCTCTAGACCAGCTTTATCTTTATTACTCCCTGAATTAGTAACTTTTTTAAACCAAAATTAATTTAAGGCCCAATTCCACTCCCTTTTTTCGGCAATAGCCTCACTTTAATGCGGCATCCTCATGGTGAAGATATTTTTCTTGAATGGAGACAACGTTTTGGTCCAATTTTTACCTTTTGGCTAGGAGAAACTCCAATTATTTGTATCGCTGAGTATAACAAAATTGTTGAATATTATCAACGTGGAGGGGAAGCATTTGCTGGGAGACATGCAATTGGTGGGTAATATGTCGAGTCCGGATTTTGTGACACTCCAAGGGGATTGAGTGAGGGTGAAGATAGATGGTCTTAAAACCCTGATGGTCGTTTTCTCCCTTCAATTTTAGGGAAATACATTTAGGTGGGATCAGTAAGATGGCAGTTTAAATAAAAGTAGAATCATAACCTGATTCGAATATACCTAAGTATTTTTTGCATTTTTGGCAAATTAGAAAACTACTCCGGTAAATGAACAAACTGCTGATAGGTTCTTGTTCCTTTATTCTTTCTATTATGTATTGTGTTATTGGTATGATTTATGGCTTATTAGACCATGATCAAGACCAAAACAGGAATTTTTTCTAAATTTAAAATAGAAACATGGCCAAAAACTATCAAACTTCCGATCTTTAATTGAGCCGACCCTCATTATAAGATAAACTTATGGGCTGTAAAAGGTGTACGTTAGATAGATGTCGGCCGATTATAGACTACTCCCCTAACAAATGGCCAACCAACTTAAGGAAAACATATCTCTACATTTCCACTATTGAGTGTATTTTAATGAGGTTCGATTATTAAAAATTTTTTCTAAATAGAAGCTTACGAAAGAATAATTCGTGGAGGAATATATGGCGTTTTACAAACTGAAGGGGAAATTTGGAGGGAACATAGACGCTTTGTTTTGCACGTTTTTAGAGATTTTGGAGTTGGAAAAAATATTATGCAAGAAAGAGTTAAATTTTTCTTTAAAAATTTCTTTTAATAAATTTTCCCCCAGATTTTGACAGAAATTTCAGAAATGTTTAAATTATTGGATTTTGAAATTAATGAACAACAAAAATTAAATGAGATAGAAATTGATATTGTCAAACATTTAGAACGTGCAATTAGTTCGATAATTAATGTGTTACTTGTTGGGTTTAGATTTGATGAAGAGGTGTTTTTCTAAATTAATAAATGTTAAAATTAAATGAGGAGTAAGGGAATTTATTCGGGACGAATTAAAAGAATATTCTTAAAAATTTGTTTGGCCACTTTTTATTTAAGAACCTTATTATTTTGCAGAGTAAAAGGGCCATAATCGATCTTAAATTGTTTACAAATTAATAAAATATTAAAATTGAGTTCATAATTTTTTGTAAATTATTATGGTGTAAATCTTATAAGGAGGGTCGACTACAAATTATGGCATTTTTAGTCACAAAAATCAAAGAGGCCTCCTTAAATACTTCAAAAAAATTCTTCCCAAATACTTCTTCCCCAAATACTTCACCCCTAGGCTTGCTCTAACTATAAGAATTATAATTTTCGATCACTCGCTTCGATAATTAATGGTTACATCGTTGTTTGTAATAGCCACAAGTTGGAATTCCGACTTCCTACGATTTTTTTTCTGATTTCCAATTTCCAGGAATTTAGACAGTCCCCTTCTCCTAACGCTAAATGTAACAGTTTTACTTGCTTTTAAAAATTCTAATCATTCTTTAAATTTTAAAATAGCATGAACAACTATACCACCAATTAAATAACCAATTATGGCGTTTCAATAACCGAATGCAAAGTTTTGCCACAAATTTATTCATGTGGCGCCCAGACATTTTTAAATCTTTCCCTTTATGTCAAGATGCCTATAATTTAGTTAAAAATACCCACAAATGTTTTTTTGGATTTTTTCAACAACAAATTGATAAGCATTTAGAGGAATTAATGTTAAATAAAGAAAAATTAAATAATTCAAGTATTTTACCCCCACCTAGCGATTTTATGGAAGCTTTTCTTAGGGAAAAGTTACGTTGTGAGCAAAGTGAAGAAAATGGGAGAGAAGATGTTTTTAGGTGAGAAAAGAGGAATTTTTCTCGTTGAAGATTATAAAATAACTTAAAAAAGGATAAACAAAATTTTAGGGGAAAATTAAAGGGTAATCTCGGTTATAATAATGCCTCAAAAATAGAATTTAGTGATGTGTTTTATGATCAATTTATCTGTGTCTTACTGTATCGATGCGATTTTGGCACAGTGGAACTTGAGCATATTAACTGGAACCTGTTAGAATAAGACCCAGTAAAAGTAGGATTGTTCCCCGACGGGGGGGGGGGCATGGAGATAACTTTTCGGGGAGGCAGCACCACAGGGGATGGGGATGGGGAAAATTTTTTATATTTTGAAAAATCTCTCAAATTCCCTACCAGTAAGATTGACGGATAGTTGAAAATCTTCAGGATATCCGGATCCGATATCCGAACCGAAATTTTCCGGATATCCAGCCTTTTTTCGGATCCGGATCAATGCCCAGTGTTAGTGCCATATCAGTCTTAGAGGCTTGTTAACTGCAAATTTCTGTCCTAAATTTACGCTAAGCATTTATAAGGATTTGGACTTCCCTCTACCCTAGTGCCTAGTGGGAGAACCGTCTGTTGTCCATAGTTTATCCTTTCCCTCTACATCCCATTGCCTCGAGACTTTATTCGTAAATTTAGTTATGAACATTTGAAGGCTATTCTTTTTGACCTTTGGATCTCTGGGCAGGTTACTCGATCATATTTTAATGGCAATTAATTCCGTTTATCCAAGGAAACAACAACAACAGCTCTGTCTTGGGGAATAGCCCTTTTATTACACAATCCTTCTGTAATGGAAAAAGTGCAGATAGAATTGGATAATAAATTTGGTAATGAACAAGAAATGATTTCTTGGTCAGATCGTTCTACTTTGCCTTATACTTGTGCTGTTGTAAATGTGAGTAAAAATAAGGAGGATTTAATAATGAACAATAGAATGATAATAAAGTGAGCAAGTTCTCTGGGACTGGAAGACTATGAAGCGTATCTTACATCACTAGGGTTAGTGGATCCTGGAAATCCCTGGATACCCGGATCCGATATCCGAAACGATAATTTCTGGGTTCCAGACTTATTTTAAGTCCGGATATTCGGATCCGCCAACCTTAAGTATCGCTCTCTTAAACAGATCCAGTGGCTAACCTAATTTTCTGATAGTATCTCAAATTGGTTTATCTATTATCGTAAGCGTCTTATAAGGAAGGCTCCAATTACCTAACTTAATATTGTTTTTTAAAAGGAAATTCTTCGAGTTGGCAATGTTGTCGCACAAGATTTTCCCCATAGAATGATGAAAGACACAAAAGTTGATAAATGGTTGTTACGAAAAGGACAACCAATTGTGGCACAAATTTCAGTTGTTTTAGTTGACCCAAATGTGAGGAAAAGTTTTTAAAATTCTCCAAAATATATTTTTTTAAAAGATTTTTTCTGATCCGAAAAGTTTTCGACCAGAACGATTTTTGGACGAAAATGGAAATTTACTCAAGTCTGACCATTTAATTCCTTTTGGATTGGGGAAGCGCCAATGCCTTGGAGAGTCTTTGGCTAGAATGGAATTGTTTCTATTTTTTGCTAATATATTTAATCGTTATATGGTAAATATTTTAAATACTGTAAATACTCTAATTGAAACCCTGGGCTTATATTTTTCAATGTGTCTCTTTAGATGGGCCTATATTAGAGGTGGGCTTCTACAAGAGGCTGGGCTTCAATTAGAGTATTTACGGTAATTTTATGAAAATTTAAATTGGGAAAATTAGTTGACAAGCGTTTAGGAAGGGGACCGTTTACATATTTACTCGATTAATTAGCCTGGGCCACTTTCGATCCTCCTAATGGTAACCAGGGGTCGAACGACGAGTTCTGGTTTCCGAAAATTTGAGCTGATTTCCGAGTTCCGACTTTTGAGCCATTTCCGATTTCCGACAGTTCCGAGTTCCGACACCTTCATCATTTCCGATCGACCCCTGATGCTAATTAATCGAGGGAGTTTAATTGTGTTTTTGGAAGAGTATCGTGCCAACTTTCTGTTGGAGATTCGGATATTCAGTTCCGAAAAAGTCAGTATGTCCGGAAATTTTGGGGGTTGATATGCGGGGCTTTCCTAGGATCCTTCAAACCTAGCCTAACTTGTAATGGAGTTACCATATGAAAATTAAAAGCCCGATTCCTGCCCATCTACATTTTTAAAAATAATTTGTTTAGATATCGCCAGGCGATTCTTTGCCTTCATTGAAACGAGAAATTGGAATTCCAGTTCTTTGTCCAAAATTTACCTGTCGAGTAATTAAAAGGAGGAAAATAACTCAATTATAAAATCATAACTTTGATTTTTTTGTAAAATTGTTTGATTTTTTTACAATTTACTAATAAAATATTTACACAAAAATAAATCTTTTAAATTTAAAAAAGTAAAAAAACCCAAATATGTGAATTTAGTTTAAATAAATCGTAATTAAGGGATCGGATTTTTAGGTTATAGCCTAACTTTCTTGGAAAAGTCGAAAGAAGCCTAAATTATCTGTTAAGGTTTTTACAGTCTAAAAATCCGATCCTTAATAATTATAATGATTCCCCACATCAAAATAAATCGAAAATAAAAATTTGGATTCTACCAAAATTTAAATGAAAAATTAATAAAAATAAAAAATTTAAATAAAAAAATTTAAATAAAAAAATTTAAATAAACACAAAAATTCAAAACAAAATTCTAATTCAAAAAATGTTAAAAACACCAACTCGACTAGTTCCTAGTTTTTCGTCATATATTTAGTCTAAAATCCATCTTAACTAGAGTTCGGGAAATTGATTTTGTCGGTACCAGTAGTACCGAAAAGTACCAGTCCGAAAAATACCGTCAGTACCGCGGTATGTAATACCGGCCCGTGTTGAACACTAATCTTACAATTAACTAGAAACTAGTCTTAAAAATTTTCCTTTAAACATGAAATTTCCCGTGAATGACCATCCCAAATTTTGACAAAATAAATGTAGAAAATCTTCTAATAAAAAATATGTTGACCGTTAAAATTTCTTGTAGTAGGTCGAAATGACTTAGTTAATGAGTGTGCTCTTATTAGAAGATTTAAGGTAAAATTTTAAATAAAATTTAAAAAAAATTAGAAATGCAAAAATAACCAGTAAAACCTCCAAAAAGACCAAAAATTTCAAAAATTTACCAAAATAAAAATATGGGAATTTAAAACACGTTCGGATCTCATTATAAAATAACCTGTTTAATCTCCCCAGGGGAAATTGAAAATATTTCCTTTCTTTCCTTTTCTTCTACCTGTATAGGTACTTTGTGTTTATGGATTTGGCTTTTTATTCACAGTCCAAGAGGCTGGCAATCTTATCGAAGAAATATCATCACGGTCAATTTTAGCAGAATTGAAGTCGACATGAGTTGTTTCTAACTTTTTTATGAAAATATTGCTGGGCATTGAACAATGGTTGTCTATATGTATCAACATCTCGGGTATCTGAGGTTGTTGAGAAAATTAAAAAATGTTTAGAAAATACCATATTTATTCTAGTAGACCGTATTTATTCTAGTATTTTTCAATACCCCTAAAAAGGGCCATTCTATTGGAGAGGTCATTCTATTAGAATAATACGGCATATAGGACCTCTCTAATAATTGGGACCGAATTTAGTTGATATATCAAAGGTGACGTATGAAGGAGTGTTTCATTATAGAGGGTCGACCTCATTATGAGGTACCTCCTTGAAACTAAAAATGCTTCCTTATAACAGTAAAGCAACTGGGTTATAGTAATTTCTCTCCAGCTAGTGCAAAAGGTTATTCGGCTGCTTGGAGCGAACCAGCACCTAGAGTAGACCGAACTGATGTGTTATCCATTACACCACGCCGCCTACTGCATAGCCTTGGGAATTAAATAGTTGTAGGCATTACATAGCGAGGGTAATTTAAATGGATATTATCTCTCATTGTCAGTGTATCTCTCCCTCTACCCTTCGGCCAACCATTTAAAAATTGGACCTTAAATTCAGGTGAATTGTCGGGAAGGGTAAATCCAGGTAAATAACAAGAGGGGGTGGTTATATTTTATGAGTTCCAGCTATATATAAATAATAAATACCTTATCTTCTTCAATAAAATTTTCAAAAGGTTTACAACGTTTAAGCGAAACTTTAATAAGTGGTGTTAACAAATCTGGATTGGCTTTTAAATCCTTTAACCATTGTGGTATTTTAATTTTACTGTCTTTTACTTTCATTTCTTCTGTCATTTTTTTATATTCTTTATCCCAATCATAATAATAACAATCAAGAATATAACCATATTTAATAGGCAAAGCAAAATTTAAATTTTTCAAATATACGCTTGGAGGTTTTTGTTTTTTTGGTTTAATTTTATCTTTTAAATATATTAAATAATATATTTCAAAAATTTTTCGAATTTCCACAACTGCAAAATAAAATTAAAAAATTGCTTGTGTTTGGGAAAACAGGCAGGGTCTTGATTAGAGGCAGGACTAGCAGGGATTGTATGAGACTCGAGATACCTCAAAAAACGGAACTTTTTGTTCGAGGTCTCACCCTAGCCCGATTTTTAGTTAGTGTCTCAGCCAGATCTTTAACTAGAAATCAAAACTTAATGAAAGATAAAATAGGAAAGGTAGGGGGGGGGTATTACCCAAAAAATCCGATCTTTCTCTTTCCATTGTTACAGCCTCAATTATTCTTAAGTTTGCCAACATTGTCAAATCTCGGATAAACCCCAAGACTTTCACTGTATTCCCATAGAATCTTTTATGAGAATACTAATCCGGAGGTATAGTACACACGCACAATACCGGACCATAGATTCTTAAAAGCAGAGGTATTTATCGGCATAGGAAAGACCCGCTCTTATCAACATCAAGTTTTTCCTTCCAATTTCTGTCCAATTTTAGTCATTTGAGGAAGGATAAAAGAGGAGGGGAGGGGGTAGAAATTGAAAATACCCCCTGGGGTAATCAGTATGCTTAAAAACCCCACTTGCTTCCATAGTCATCTCTTCAATTACTAATTTCTTTGCTGTTACAAGAAATGAGCGTTCATTCTGTATCGCTTCTGGAACCTTACAACCGCCTGTCTTTATATTCATCACACAATCTATTATCCACTGTATCGGATCACGTTTAGTACCAATTATTTTTTTAAAAAATTGTTGGAAAAATATAGCTCCTCCAAAAGCGATGGCCGGCACAATTAAAGGGAAAAGACGCTTTTTTCTTACAAGTACGGCTAGAAATTTAATTAAAATAATAAAATTATTTTAATAAATTTTTATCTTAAGAGAGGTATTTTTTGGTGTTAGGAGAACATTTGGACCTCCTGTACCCATGAAACCTCAATCTAAAATAGGCTTTTCTAAAAAAGATGGTAGGCCGCTGGGTGGTGGAGATGCCCAGGCGATACCCAAAGTTAGGATACCCCTGATTATAAGGGACGATTTTTTTCAGCTTTTAAAAATTAAAAAAATTTACAATTTGCATATCCTCTTGTCGTAACAAATCTAAACGAACCCGATTTGGTTAATTCAGAATTTTGCTTTTGTGTCTCGTCGGATTGATGGAGATTTTGATCTGTAAATTTTGAAATTTATTAAACAATGGTTCGAGGTTTCTAAGTAATGGTTCGATGCTAATGGTCCGATGTTTCTGGAACTAACAGTTGGCATAGGGAGTCTAATTGAACAAGGGGGGCGACTGGCAAAGGAAAATAAACTAGCACTAAACGCTCCTCCCGGGTTAACTAAATGCTAATGTATGTATTTTGCTGGTACTAAACCCACAGCTGGTCCACAATAATTAATTGTTATCATTCCTTCGGGATTTTTGTTTCTGAGCTGATATGATCATTACTTTACTATAGCTTTTTAAAATTAAAATAAGAAATTCTTACGATTTTCAAATAAAAGGTTATCAGATGAATTATTTTTTACTCTTGACGGATCAAAACTAAAGAAATCAGATTTGTGTAATCCAGAAGTTTGCGTTTGTGTCTTGTCGGATTGATGGTGATTTTGATCTGTTAATTTTGAAATTTATTAAATTTACATTGTACTTATTTTTTCAATTAGTTTATAGGTTTTTAATTTTTTACTTTAACTACCTAAATTAATTAAATTCCACTCCTTTCGTATATTAGGTCCAGAAAGGACCTATATAACAGTGCCACGGGGGGCGGAGACGGGGAACAACCCTACTGAACAGCCTTAGGAGTTAAATAGCCATATATGTATGAGTGTCGGATGTGTATGAGTGTTATGAGTGTCAAATAATAAGAATGAGTGTCGGATAATGAGTGTCATAAGAATGAGTATCAATTTTTAAAATCAACTCCCTACTTTTATAAAAATTTTGTTCGTGATCCAAAAGAGGAGTATCAAGACTTTGTCTCGATTCATTATCTGAATGATACGAATTTTCCTCAAATGTAATCCATGGAATGCTGCCAGTAACATCAAGACTTTTTCTTGGTGGATCTGCTATATTTGATCCTGATCTCTGGAACTCAAAACTTCGCCTTGGTGGTTCAATATCTATTGAATTTGCTTTGATCTTTTGTTTATCTTTATTTTTATCTTTATTTTTACCTTTAATATTTTTTCCAGAAGTTAAATTTTCCAAAAGTTTTTTAACACCCTTCACAAGACTAAAGCCTTCCTTTTTCGTGTTTTGTGTTTTTCCTGGTTTAGCGTTATCCAAGTCTTTTTTTAATTTTTTTAAATCTAAATTATTTGTCTGACTGTCCAATTCATCAAAGCCTTTAAGTCGAAGCAATTCTACTCGATCGTTTGAATTTTCTTTTTGGAATACTTTACAGACACGTTTGAAAATTGCAACTTTATCCAAATCAAGATTACAATCCTCCTCTTTTTTGCTCCCATCACTATCGTAATCTTCGTCAATTAACGGGGTTGTACTTTCAGTTCTTCCATTTTTTTCACTTAAAATGTGGTATAATATTATCTCTATATAACTACTGCCCATTCCTAAGCGACAACCGATCCAGGGTACTTTCATTCGACGGTCCCGTCGACGGGTCCCGAAGGATATCGAGATCCCCCTGTATTAGTTGCTTTGCGGATTTTTCTTGAAGAGTTCATGTCGGATTCTCCAGAGTCTAGGTTAGCGCTGTTCTCATTAAGAAAATTTTTTGCTTAATTTTTAGAATTTTCATTCGAAGTCCACAATTTCGGACCCTTAGTTAACTCTCTACAAATCTAGAATTTTAACCGAAATTTTTATTCGAGATCTTGTCTAGGTTCAATCTCTCTCTCAAGCATATTGAAAAATAAAATTCTGAGAAGGGGAGTAGGGTGTAGGGAATACCCTACTAGGGATGATCGAAACTCTCGGTCTCGGCTCCCGATCGGGAAATTTCCCGGGTTTTTGAGCTTTATATCTCGGTGTTGATTCCAGGTCTCGGTCTTGACTCTCAGCTTTTTTAACTCCCGACCATCACTACTAGGGAGTAAATACTCATATTTTTTAAAAAATTAAAAGAGAAACACCTTTCTTTTCTTTTTGATTTTTTGCAATTTTTTGCAAAATCAAATATTCCACAAAATATTTTACGAATTTCAACAACAAAATATGTTTGATGAATGTGTTTTGTTATTAATTGATGTTCTTGATTGTAGGAAAGTTCGAACACATTTTTGGAGAATTTCGAGTCTCCATATCGTTTTCTAGTATCTTTATAAATTTCCTAAAAATAAAATAAATTAGGGGCTCCCCTACAAAGGATAGATGAATTAAAGGATAGATGCGCTAAAGGATAGATACGGCCAAAAACTATCAAAGGATAGATGCATCAAAGGATAGATGCGCTAAAGGATAGATACGGCCAAAAGCGATCAAAGGATAGACAGCTGAATAGGTCGTTTGAGTCTGTTAAAAATGTTTAACAATCTGAATCTTCGCTGGAAAAACTGTTTTTGTGCTGCTATGGAGGGTAGGCCGGGCATGGTCTTCGCTACACGATGGCCGTACTTCGCTGCGGTCGTGCTCGCTTCCTCGCGGCGACCATAGCGAAGCGGCGGCCGTCGTTCCGCTCGACATGCCCGGCTTCCTCCGCAGCGGCAAAAACTTTTTACCGTGAATATACTAAAGTACGAATAAAATAAAAATCAGAACAGAAACATGAAATCAGAACAAAGATCAGAAAAAAACAAAGATCAGGCACTCAACAGTCGGTACTCAACTGGACTCCAAACTTTATCTATGTTTTACCCAATTTTAGACGTGTCTATACTTTAATGGATTTTACCCCTATCTATCCTTTGGCGCATCTATCCTTTGATGCATCTATCCTTTAATCGTTTTTTGCCTTATCTATCCTTTAGCAGCTTTTGGCCGCGTCTATCCTTTGATCGATTTTAGCCGTATCTATCCTTTGATTCATCTATCCTTTGAGCGGGCACGAAATTAGGAGAGTTTTGCTTGAATAATGGGAGATAATATAATATTTTTAGTGAATGCCCAAGTCGTGGATCCGTAAATGTCAAGATACACATATGGGGAAGTGTGGTAAATGTCCGGTTGGTGTCCTACATGTCCGCAAAGAGAATGCGCATTTTTCCTTCCTTCTCTTGCATTTTTTCCTGCAAGGAGTGGCGCCCATTTTTCACTTATGTATGGTATGCCTTTTGGAACGTGGAAGAAAAGAGGAAAAATAATCAAAATTAATTACTAATAAAGTACAAATAAATATTTTATTTTACTAATAATTCCCCCACAAATAATTCCTCACGAGAAAATTTGTGGATTCCAATTTTCGTCGATAAAGAACTCGATATTGAATCAAAGAAAAAATCCCAAATGTTAATTATTGAATATCTACAAGGCTTTTGAAGACTGAAAAAATCTGCCTAAAATGTGGTAATGGTATAAGTATAAAGTGAAAAAATGGATACTTGTATTAAAATTTTTATAATTAAGTTGTCCCAGAAAAATTGCCAAGCAATAATTTCTGTACGTTCTGATATGTAGATTTTTTCTCTGATCATTTATAAAAAATATTTATTTGTACTTTATTATGTAATAATTAATTTTAATTATTTTTCCTCTTTTCTTCCACGTTCCAAAAGGCATACCATACATAAGGGAAAAATGGGCGCCACTCCTTGCAGGAAAAAATGCAAGAGAAGGAAGGAAAAATGCGCATTCTCTTTGCGGACATGTAGGACACCAACCGGACATTTACCGGGAAGTGTCAATTTTTCCCATATGGTAACTAGACTTATTGTGAATTACCCAATGTGGTGAACTGTTTCTTTGTAAACTGTCCTGACACGCTAGCCTAAGAGCAGAGGTGGGTCGGAATTCCGATTTCCGACATTTTTTCCTTCCGATTTCAGAAAAAAATTTTGATTTCCGATTTCCGACTTCTGAGGCATTCCGATTTCCGGCTCTTCCGATTTCCGACACCTCTGACTTTTCCGACCCACCTCTGCCAAAGAGGGACTTCTATATAAACCAAAGATAGATTTATTGTGAATTACTCCATACTGGGGGCATGGGGACATACTGAGGACAAAGTCGGGGACATATACAATCGGACAAGATTATAAGTGATAAGTAGTCATCTCTATAATGAGATTTATCTCAGGTAAAAAATTTTTTTCTCTAAATTTTCTAAAATTTTCCCATACGGGGAAACATCCCCTAACGGACACTTGTCATGGGGTCCGAAAGAGTTTCTAATTTAAAAAAATTTTACTTCTAAAAATTTATATAATTTTGGTGCATAATCGCTGAAAATTAGCATTTTTTCTTCATCAAGCTCAATACTAGCCATGTTTATAACTTTAGAAGCATTCTTATTAATAATTATTAAACAATCCTCATTCGTAAATGTTTCACTAATTTCTGGAACACATTGAATCTCTTTATTTTTATTTATAAATTGTTGAAATGTTGGTGGTTCTTCTTTTTTGGAAGCAAATACATTTATAAACTTTTGTTTAAATTCGACTTTTTCCGTCTTTTTTGTGAGTGATCCCTTTAATGCTTCTATAACTTGATCAAGATTTTCCTTCTTTATATCGTCCCTAAATACAAAATATTTTTTTATATTAACATAGTGGAGGGATATTAAGAGCAGGGGCGGGCGGACAATCTCCAAAAACGCAAAACGCTAGGCCAAAATCAACACAAAACACAAAAAAAATCAAAACGCAATGTGTTTACGTCTGATAGGGACTGAAAAATAAAAGGCAGATTGTGCCTATAGATACATCCATTGGGGCTGAAAAAAGTTGTCTTATACCTTAAACAGGGTAACGCGTTGAATTCCCTCTGTTATGTCCGACAAGCACAAGATTGGCACTATCCCAGGTGGATTTGGATTGACTAGCCGGATTAGTATAATTCAATTAAACTTAAGTCTACATTGGATTTTATACTACCGATTGCTTAGTTAAATGTCCAGTTCGCTATCCACCTATCCGCAAGAGGAATGCGCATTTTTCCTTACTTTTCTTGCATTTCTGCTTAAGGATCGGCGCTCTCACATTTTTCCTTCTCCTTCCAAGTAACTTTTAGCACTTGAAAGCAGTAAAGTGATTCTTTTGTAAAAATTAGGGTATCTAAAATCAAGATATTGGGTGTATTTTGAAGAGGTTTAATTTATCCTCTTTTAAATAGTAACTCCATTCTATATCTCTTTCAACGAAACTTTTTTTAAATTTACTTACAAAATCTTTCCCAAAATTTCTCTTCCAAGTTTTTTCCTTTTTGTCTGTTCATCTTCAATAAGATTATTTTTCTTTGATCGGAAAGCGACACTGTCACTCTTTTTTAATGGAATATTATAATATTCTTCATTATCGGGAGTTTCTTTTTCTTGTTTTTCATCATCATCGGAAGCTTAAAAAATTTTTTTTTTAATTTTTATCTGAAGAAATTTAACGTAATTTTATTTATCGTACTTCATAAAGGAGGTCGGTCGGGATTCAGATTTCCGACACCATCGTCATTCCGATTGACCCCTAATTTTCGTCATTTCCATACCATTAATTTACGGCCTATTTTTTGGCCTTAACATTTCCGATTTTTTTTCTCGTACACGGAACCTCGTACGAGCACAAATTACTATGGCATGAGCATCCAGGCACAGATTTTTACTCAGATAATTTTTTGTTTTGCCAAATTGGAAGGCAAAAATCGAAATTCCTGCCCCATTCTTTTATAGACATTTAAATTCCCAATGGGTATATTACCTTGTAATGAATACGAAATTTCTTCATTTGGTTTCAAAATTTGCAAAAGTTCTAAACAGTCTTTGGCCGATATTTTCTTTTTTATTTGTCCAGTTTCTGAGATTTTATTTATTTTTTTTATTAATTTTAAATAAAAATAATTAATATTTCCTACCAAGGAAGGGTCTTCTCAAAGGATAGGTCAGGGTAAAAAAGCGGGTCGGATTCGTGAGGAAAAAAAGTCAGGGTTTCAGGAACCCGACCCATCCTTGACATCACATTCCGTAACATTTATAGGCTCCGACCCCAAAAAATGTTAAGAAATCCAACTGGCCAAATGTTAACATCAAAGTCTGGGGTTTGAAAAATTTGAAAAAAAATTTTGAGAAATGGATTCTAAGATGTTAGATTCTAGTATGGATCTAAGGAATCTAATATAATATTCTACTTGAAAATGGATTCTAATAAACATCTAATACATTCTGAGATACGATTTTTCCATCCCCAAGGGTATTTTTTAAAATGGGGTCTGCTCGTAAAATAAATTCGGGGTTAAATGACCCCCCAACTTAAACAATCCTGGGTTGCGGATTAAATAACCCGGTCATTTAACCCTCAACTCCGGGTTTTCATTTACTGTGCGGGTTGCGGGTTATTTAACCCTCGGGTAGGGGGTTGGGTCGTCTCTCGGGATAGGTCTGGTTAACCCTCGGTAGTCTCGGATAGGGTTTAAATAACCCAAAACCTGAATTTAATTTACGGGACCTGATCGTATTTTTAGTTAAAAAAACCAAACCTAAATCACCCCAATTACTAAATAAATTGTTACATCCACATTTTAAAATATTTTCCAATTTAGAAGGATCAAATTCTTTTAATTTTTTAGTTTTCTTTTTATTTTCCCACTCCTTTGAAATTTCATCGCAATGCATGCTTTCATCTGTTTTTGTTCCTTGAACAAAATTTTCATATATCTTCCAGGCTTTTTCGTCCTTTTCTGTTAAAAGAACCTCTGGGACATACCCAATAGGAACTAATTGGTGTCTAAAAAGGAAAAGAAAAAAATCCTCTCGAAGAGTAAAATTTTCTTCAATTTTGAATTCTGATCTGTTTATCAATCCAAAGGTGTGAGAATGTAAATAACGAAGAAGGTTGGCTGTTAAATTTGGATAAAATTATTTTTTTAATAAATTGAAAAAAAGGAATCTGACTAGGAAACAAAAGGAGTTTGACTGTAGGACTACCTTCCAAAAACCATAAAATCCCGGAATTTTTTTGGTTTTAAGAATTGAAATTTCCAATGAGCTTTATGAATTTATTTAAGGACAAAGTGAGATGAGATCCAGCTAGCTAGCTTTAAAATGTTTAATAGGAGGGGAGGGGGTTTAAGGAGAGGTGTTTATGGGAGAATGTTAAGGAGGGAGGAAGTTAAGGAGAGGGTTTAAGGACGAGGAGGGAGTTAAGGAAGGGTGAGAGGGGAGGGGGACGGGTGGGTTAATGAGGTGATTAAGAGAAGAGTTATTAAATAAGAAATGAAAGAAACGGCCCGATATCTCGGTCGATAGAATATCAGTCGGTAGAATATCAGAAGCACCTAGCAATAACTGACAGGAGGTAGAAGGATCGATGCCTTCTCGTGCCCATCTTTTTTAAAGTTAAGCGGGGGCTCTATTTCAACCGGGGTTTTATTTTAAAATTTATAGCCTGAAGGAATATCATACAGCTCAAGGGATATGATATCATACATTGAAGCGATATCATACATAAAGAGATATTATACATTCAATTAAAACTCACCAGCAGTTTTAGTTATATGTTTGAAAAGTATCATAAAAATTTGTTGAATTAAATGTTTATCATTTATCTCCTTTTCCGTAGGGGCACAATAATTTTTGAAGCCATTGGTTATAAATCTGTAAATACACCCCTGAAAATTATTTTTAATATTTCTACTGATTACAAAATTTAAGTTGATTCCTATAAACAGATTCTCGTTACAATTTACCCCATTGTTGGGGAAACGAATATTATTTGCAGCAGGATTATTATTGACAATTTTGGGGGAAATACTAATAGCTTTTGGAAAAATTATTTTCCCATTTCCTTATTTTGTTTGTTTAGCCCTTACATACCATTAGTCTATATCCATCTTTTTTTGTCAATGATTGAGATTTAAAGAGGATTTTTATTTTTTTATTATACATTTATACATTAGGGATGCGTTGGGTTATATGAAGAACGATATCCAGAACCCAAACCTTTTTCAATTCGTAACCGATCCAAAGTAAATTTTGAAACTTCCAACCAAAGGCGGGTCGGAATTGCGACTTCCGATTGCCGAAAATTTATGCTGATTTCCGACATTTCCGACACCTTCGTCATTTACGACCCACCTCTGACTCCAATTCGTAACTCCGACTAGACTATTCCCCCTAACCGATTTCCCTAATCGGCCCGTTCTTGATATACAATTAACCACATTTTTGGACACCTACAGTTTAGGCCACGTTTTACAAAAGTTAATTTGTCTCAGAGGAGTAGTGATGGTCGAGATTCTCGGTTTTCTTTAACTCCAGACCATCACTACATAGGATCACCTTATTACGAGAGATACTATTAGATCTGAGCGTGTATTCAAAAAACGAGGTTGATTGTTTTAGACTTTATTTAGTCTGTTTTACCTTTTCTTGAAATGATCCAATCATATTAACTCTGCTTGTAATTTGCATTTGGGTAAATGGCCCAAGCGTGAAACTCCAAATAACTAGAATTAATATTCCTGATAAAGCGAGAAATTCGCGTTTTTCTCGTTTATGTTCGGTCATTTTGGTATAATCCTGGTCCCAAGGTAATACAATTTTGTTTTCCGATTTTGAAGACAAAATTGTTGTTGTTTCCCCATTGTCTGGGGTTGTTGATGAATTTGTTTGTTTTAAAATGAAAAGAAAAATTATCAAGAGAATTACTCCTTTTTCGAATAAATTCAAAAAGGAGAACATCTAAAATTAATTTAAAAATTACGGGCAGATGGACTAGTATTTGTTTATTAGGGAAATTAAATTACCGGATTTCAGGCAAAAAATTTAATTTCTGATTTTACCCAATAATCGTCAGGAATTCCTTATCTTCAGGAATTGGGGAAACGGCAGAATCTCCTTTATTTCTGGCACTTTTTTGATTTTCTTGGTACTTCCATGGCACTTCAAATAAGGTATTAATCTAAAACCTCTGTGTTGAGCCGATTTTTTACTAAAAAAAGGAAAAAAATCCTTCCATAATTGTTCAATTATAAAGTAGTATTAATTCCAAAGGCTATGGAGGCCTGGGTTTTTCCTGGAGGTCTGGGTTTTTCCTGTACACAGAGTTCAGGCCCAGGCATTTTTACCTTCCTGGATTTTTCCTGGCCCTGGGGTTTTTCTTGGACTACAAGCCAGCATCCGGCCCAGGTCAATAAATCAAATCCAGAGTCCAGGAACAGGCCCAGGCTTTTCAAAAATCTCGATCTATAATATAACAGAACAACAAGAAGGTTGCCAATGAGGTTGCAAACAACCTAATTAAAAAACGGTAAAGCAGAGAGGGAAGGCGGAAAGCTAGGATTTAAACAACTTAAAGCAAGGAGTTGACTTTGTAAAAGATATATAAAAAAAATTTTTTGCAAATAAAATAAAATAAAAATTTATTTTTTAAATAAAATGGTATTTAATTTATTAAAGGGCAATGGAGAAAACTCGAGAATTCATTTGCGACTTTATTCAAGCATATGCCCAAGGGCAAGGCGTTAAAAATTGATTTTAAAATTCTTTAATTTCTTTAGCCTCCTCTCTCTATTTAAAAAATCCCCTCTAGCCATTGACAAAAATTTACAACGCTAAAAAATTCTTCCTCTACTCCTCCCTCCCTCCTCAATCCCTCTCGCTCCATCTCTCCTCCCTCCTTCCCCTTCCATCCCTCCCTCCCTCCCTCCCTCCCTCCCTCCCTCCCTCCCTCCCTCCCTCCCTCCCTCCCTCCCTCCCTCCCTCCCTCCCTCCCTCCCTCCCTCCCTCCCTCCCTCCCTCCCTCCCTCCCTCCCTCCCTCCCTCCCTCCCTCCCTCCCTCCCTCCCTCCCTCCCTCCCTCCCTCCCTCCCTCCCTCCCTCCCTCCCTCCCTCCCTCCCTCCCTCCCTCCCTCCCTTCCTCTGCTCCTGCCTCCATCCCTCCCTTCCTCTAATCCGCCCACCTCCACTATCCCCTCCATCTCCCTCTCCCTCCCTCCTACTTCTCTCCCAACCTCCTTCCCCACCCCCACCTGCCCTTCCCTCTCTCCCCACCCCCACCTGCCCTTACCTCTCTCCCTCCCTCCCACTCACAATCTTCACGTGAGGCCTCAAGGGCTGCGAATTCTTTGTTTAAATTAAAGGGCAACTGTAAAGCAATTAAGAAGGGCAATTGAAAAAGAATTTCAATAATCAATATAGTCTACATTAAAGATTAATGAATTAAATTTAAATAAATAAAGTTAAATTAATAAATTTGGGTTATGGCGGGTCTCAGCTGTAAATAACTCCGGCGGGTTGAAGGATTACAACGAGGTTACATGTTATTAAGGCATGTTAAATTTAGGGATGTAATAGAAAAATCCTATTTTAATAACGAGTTTTTTTTCAATTAAGCTCGAACATCTGGCAATGGTCCCTGAAAATCAAGCATTAGCAATTTGACACTGGTTAATTGACATTTGTCACTAATGTCAATGTTAATATCACACACACACACATATATTTACACTGATCTACATTAAGGTGGCCGAATCCAGTATAAAAACTAGCAGAAGGATTGGTTAGGACTTGATTCTGAATGCTCTCTGATATAGAAGGTTGAAGGTTGTTAAACTACCAGATAAAAAAATTTTAAAAAAAATTAAAAAAATAAAAACTCCAAAGAATCCAAACAAACAAAGAAATTCCAAACAAAAAAAATTTAAAATAATTTTTTAATTTAAAATATTAAAATATAAATAAAAAAAGCCAGACAATCTTATGACTTTAAAGAAATTTTTTTTTGGAAATTGACTAGACAATTGAAAAATTAATTTTTAATGTCCAGACAAATCTATTTAAATTTTTTATTGTCTAAATTTAAAAAAATTGATTTTTGAAAAATTTAATTTTTTAAAGTGGACGGACAAAATTAGCGGCACAGCCAGGAGGAAATTTTTTAAGAGAAGATAGAAATTTAAAAAAAGTTTTTCTATTATTCAAAGTTGAAGCCATCAATAGGCAAGAGTTTTTTGTTTTGTGATTTTCGTCTTGTTTTTAGTCTTCCTACATGGAAAAATTAAGGTTTTTAAGGGCAAATTCTCTAAATTTCTGAAAAAACTTTTTTTTTAATTTTAATCGGAAACACCCCCCCCCCCCCACTCAATTACCCTCTCTCAAATAATTGCCACCTTCCGATTAATTACCTCTCCAGCGAGTGGCGGAAACAACAATTAGCCAGTGCAATTATTCAGGCATATAACGGTGTTTAGAATGCATTCTTAAGCTTTAGATAGCTACTGGATGGGGAAAGTGTTCGCCTCGCATTTTAAACATCCTTGATCTTAGATACTCTTTTCCCTCCTTCAAGAGGTGTATAGAGGGATCCTGCCGATCCAAATTCCCGATTCCCCGAAATCGGGAATTCCCATCGATTTTGGGTCGAGAATTCCCGAAAAAAATCGGAAATTTTGTTTTTTTTGTCTGCAGGATCTCTGGTGTATTGGAATTCAGAGGTGTATAGTAGGGATCCTGCAAATCTAAATTGGTCTGGCATTATACCATTTTAGATTTTTATATTACTTATAGAAGCCCTAACATGAAAAGCTTATTAGATTGGAGACTAGGAATTTAAGGCTGAGCGTTCTGGAGTCCATTTTTGGCAGATTTTTGGCGTTTTGCTTTTGGCGTATTTTTAGAATTTGAAATACTGGAGCGTTAGGCATTCCACGCTAAAATTTTGCCGCACAGCCCTGCTAGGGATGGGTAAAAAACATGACAAGTTCCCCAACAACAATTTTCCAATTATTAATTAAAAAATTTTTTTTAAATTTTGGATTTTTTATTTAAAAAAACTTCTTTATAAAATGCTTAATAAAATGCCCTACACATTTACGTAATATGTATATTTTAAATTCAAATAAACATCCAAACACACACATATTTAACCGTTTAACTTCTTGGACATCCCAAGTTTTAATTAGCATTTATTTTTTTATTTTTGTTGTTGCCAGTCTTTAAAGGAAAATCGATGCTAAATGCTTTTTTAAATAAAAAATAAATTTAGTCGGGTCTAACTTGTAGATGCACACCCTTGGGGTTGAAAATAGTCTTATAATGACCAAATACCTTAAAGAGGTATCGCTTAGAAAGATCTCGCACCTATTGACCAGGGCTGTGCGCCAAAATTTTCGCGTGGCGCGCCAAACGCCAATTTTTCAAATTTTAAAAACACGCCAAACGCAAAACGCCAAAAATCGGCCAAAATTAACGCCAAAACGCCAAACGCCAGACGCCAAACGCCAAAATTTTTATAGTCTATAAAGACTCAAAAACCTCTTTTCATCTCATTTTAGCGCCGCAGGCGAAATTTTTTTCATTTTCAAGATTCCTAGAAGCTAGAATTCATCCTTTTTTACCGCCGGATGCGAAATTTTGAAGAGTTTTTGAAAATTTTTTGAATTAAGTAAGACCAGGAAGCAGGCCCTAGCCAATGGGGGAGAATTCCTATCTCCCGAAATGAGGAAAAGGAAAAAATTAGGGTAGAACCCCGTGAGATTAAGGTGGATATGAAGACAAGAAGTGGGTAATAAGAATAACATAGGTCTTGAAGTGAGTAAATGGTTGATGATGACGTATTAGTTTTAGATAAGACCATGATGGAAGTATTAGTTTTAGATAAGAGCTCCCTACTTTAAGCGCCGCAGGCGAAAATTTTGAAAATTTTGGAAGTCCAAGCAGTAGATTTCTTCATTTTTATGCGCGGCAGGCGAAAATTTTGAAAATTTTGGAAGACTGTAAGCAGAAAAATTTCCATTCTCGATCGTCCCTTCTACCAATTATTTTAAAAAATTCCCATCAATAGGGGTCTATATTTCTGGCGTTTGGCGCGCCAAAATCGGAAAATCACGCCAAACGCAAAACGCCAAAAATCGGCCAAAATTAACGCCAAAACGCAAAACGCCAGACGCCAAACGCCATGACGCACAGCCCTGCTATTGACCAGAGGTGGGTCGTAATTCCGATTTCCGATTTCCGAAAAAAAATTTATTTCCGATTTCCGAGTTCCGCTGGAGGTCGCAGGATCGAAGCCTGCCCGGGATTGAACTTTTACCTCGCTCTTACTATATCATAAGATAGAGCCAAGGACTAACTTTTCCTAAATGAAAGAATTAAAGACATTCCCTACCTGTTGAAACTTGGAAATTGGAACAGACGCTAATTTGGCTGAGAAAAAATCGGATAGAATTGACAAACTTTCCAATGGATCGGGTTTCAGGTCGGAGAAAGTCCGTGTTTCGTTATTTACTTTCAGACAATCTAACCCATCCCTCATGTCCAATGTCAAATCCTTCCCAAGTAATTTCTACTTTATAAAAATTTGTTTTTCTCAAACGTGTCCTTCTAAACAATATTTTAACCACCCTCTTCAAAAAATACTTTATAAAAAATCTTTTTATAAAAATTTATTTTTCCATAATTTTTGACAAAATAAATTTCCAAGATTTTACCCAAAAAGAAAGTTTTTGTTTTTTTAATGTAAATATTTTTTTGCATTTTTATAAAAGAGGCGCTCCAACCGAGAAAGTAATTAACTATTGAATATTTAAAATATTTATGCTTCATTTCCTTATGAATTTTATAAATAAAAGTACTTTTTTAAAAGTTTTTTTGGTTGGTTTATTAAAAATTATTTTATTTTTTAAAGATTTACTAGTTTAAATATAAAACAAAAATGGTATATTTTATAAGGCAGTTTTTATATTTAATAAGCAGAATAAAGGGGTCAAAATGATCTCAGAAAATAGCAAGGTTGAACTGTTCAACCAGGCCTGGTGATGGATACGGATATGGATACAGATAAGTTCAAAATGCCTACTGATATCCGTCTGTATCCGCTGTACTTGCGAATTAAACGAAACTAAGAAATTTAAAAAAATTTTTGGAGGTCAAGAGTCATAAATTGGAATAACCGATCCCAACCTTTTAATTACCGGTTTTCGGTTAATTCAAATTTTAGACAAATACCGCTTTTATTTTAAGGGAATTTTTAATAAAATCACCCATTTTAAGAAGTTTTCGGTTTTTTTAATTTTTGTAAGAACGGCTAATTTTTGGTAAAAAATATCAAAATTTCCGGGTTTAAAACCGATCATGGACAACAACCCTACTTTTAATCTTAAAATTAAATAGCCACAAATCTTCCCCAAATTTTTATTTTTTTCCGACTAATCCGACCTTCGGAAATTGGAAATTAAAAATTTTTTGGAAGTTAAAAGTCATAAATTGGAATAACCAACTCCCAACCTTTTATTTTTCCAACCCCAACATTTTTATTTTTTCCAACAATAAAAAACTGTTTATAACCAAAATTAGTCAACTCGAGAAAATTTTTTACTTAATAATAACAAATTTAAGAAAAATAAAGGGGGATTATTGCCAAAAAGAAGAAAATTTCTTTTTTTTTCCTCCTCACGGGAATATTTAAAATTGATAAATATATTTATTGGACAGACTTTTAAAGACTTTAAAAAAGGGAATTTTTTGTTAAAAAAGAAAGGCTTCTGTTTTTCCATTGACTATCCTCTTACTCGTCCTAATCTCGACGTTAAAACTCTAATCAAAATAAAATTTAAAATATTTATCAGGAATTCCCAAAGGATAATTATTCAATAATTATCTCTGGGAATAATTATCCTCTGGGAATAATTATCCTCTTAATTATCCTCCAATAATAATTATTTTTTAAATTTATAGTTAAATGATTTTCTTTCTTTTTAACTTGAACCTCTTAATTTTATTTTTATTTATTAATATTCTAAATTCATTGCCTTTTCGAGAGCACCAAAGTGCAAGAAGTGTTGATAACGAGTTTGTAGATAATAATGATGTTGATTATGGTAATTTAAAATATCTTTATTTAAATTTGGAATTGACATTAGATTACCTTTGTTTGAAAGGTGGAAATATGTCGAATTAATATTTTAACCGATAATCCGAAAAAAAAATCTTTTTGGGCCAATTTGTAAGCACAAATACATACTAATTTCGGCGTGCCCTAATTTAATAGGAAATGGAACAGACGAAGTGAATCAAGGACTAGCCGGACTAGTATGATCCAACTAGAGACTTTTAAACTATAATGACTATGTTTACATCCTTGGGTCTGAAAACTACAAAATACCGAGGTGTACACACATTTGGGGGTATCATTAGAAAGCTCCCCCTCCAAAGTGTCTAATAAAATTTGGAAAGCGTTACATATGAGGAAGATTTGACTGCATTACTTAGAAAATATTATTTTTTCTATTTAAAAAAATTTTTTTCAAAGGCATTTTGCATATTTTTCATGAACAAAAACCTGAAGGTGAGAGCACTACAGACAAACCCTTTCCAGCTTTTGATTTTATGAATAATGTTAAAAATGAAAATAATCAACAATCTAAAGTTTTTTTTGATTTTAAATTTCAAAAAAATTTTCCAAAGGAAAAACCAAAACATTTAAATAATTGTACTACTCAAGTACAAATAATTGATAAATTACTTAATGGAACAGGCTACAATAAATATAGAATACCTGGTAGAAAATTATATAAAATTTTATTTAATTTTTAATTAAAGTCTGACCTCGCTTTTAGATACATCCCCTTTGGAACTAAAAATCGGATTATCGTATTAGATTATCTCCTCGAGATCCACTAACCCACTTATTTGTTAGTAGCCTTTTAAAAAACATCTTAGAATAGGTGTAGCTACTAATGGGAGTCTCTTAAAACGAGGTGTTTTAAACTGAGAATATCCCTGAAATATATCTATTCAGGGTTGTTGGTTTCAACCCGAATCGAACACATAAAAATCAAAGATTTTCGGTTTGGTTAACCGAGGAATGTGGTGAATCGACAATCCTTGATTAGTGACTAACCAAGAATTAATTTTAAAAAATATATCGGAAAAAATATATACCACCCCTAAAAACCTTTAAAAAAATATCCTCCCCACTAACAAATAAGTGGCCAAACAAATTTATACAAAACGTATGTTAAATAGAAGGGATTTTATAGTGAAGTTAAACTATTAATTTTTAGCTGAGAATGGTGTTGATGTTGGTATTGAATTTTGGATTCAAGTAAAGATTAATTTTTAATAATTATTTAAAAATTATTTTTTAGGCAATAACAGAAATTAATGAAATTACAAACGATTTTGAAATGGATATTTATATTAATGAAGTAAATTTTGAGGAAAAAAAGAAATTTTAAGGAGGGACCGTCGGGTATAGGGGAAGTAGTCCAAGTCATTCAACGGCTCTCCTGCGATCTTCCTACAAGTGCTCTAATCCGGTTTCATAATCGGAGTGCCATCGCTTTTTTCATAAATCTTAAGTCCCTGCCTATCAAGCAGGGCAACCTTAAATAGAGTTAGTAGCCCGCTACTGTCCGAAAGATTGAGTCGGGTATCGAATTTGGCCTGATAAAGACTCGGTCGGGCCGATTCGAAACCCTCAACCCTATTTTTAAATACTAGCAGTTTAGATGGGTCTTCCTTCCTTTTTCTTCCTTTAATAAATTCTAAAAATCCTTAATTAAATATTCTTTTAATTTTCTTTTAATTTTTTTAGATGTGGCTAGATCCCTCCTTAAATTTTGAAGTAAAATGTTTATTTAAATAAAAAATATGTATAATTTTTTAAAGCATATGAGTCCCTGTAAACAAAATTTAACACTTAGCCATCAAGTTTTGGAAAAGTTTACTTTTATTCAATTAATTATTCAGTTAAAAATAAAAATTTTTAAAGGCTTTGGTCTCCAAATTCTTGTTTTATTAATTCCAAAGTTGCTCAAATACATAATTCTCCTTTCCAGTGAGAAAAAAATTTTTTTAGTTAAAAATTTAAAATTAATTTTTATAGTTAGCTGATTAAAGTCAGACCTAATTATAAGATATATCCCCCCCCCTCAATATTAAATACACCTCAGCTTAGTATACGCTTTTTTTATTTGTTTGGCCATCAAGTGGGTGAAAGGAATTTGAGAAGAGATGACTAAACGTTAACTCTCTATTAAAGATACACCCATTATACGACACCCCAAATACCAAAGAAATCTCAGTTTAAGATACGCTTTTTTAAATTTTAATAGGCCACTAAATTGATACCATCTATTTAAGACTAAACAATACTCTCTATTTAAGATACACTTCATTATGAGACACCCCATACTCGATACACTTAAGTTTGAGATACGTCTTTTAGAGTTGGTAGGTAATTGAGTACATAAAAGGTGTTGAGGAAGAGATATCTAAGCAATACCTGCTATGTAAGAGACATCCCCTCATAAGATACAATTCCCCAAAAATATATCTATTTAAATTTAATTTTTATATTTTTCAGAAATATATTTTTAATGTTATATCCAAATGGGACCCTTTGGGTCAATTATGTTAGTTCTTTAATTAAAATATTTTTGAATTTTAATTTTAAAGCGTGTTAGAATTAAAGGCCCTTGTGCAATGGATTTGTAAGTATTATTCTAGTAAAAATCCTTATAAGAAATTTGCTTTGGGCCAGGAGTACGACATTTGCGAACAGATTTGAATCCTATTATTGGAATAAGCGTAAACTTGGTCATTTCTCTGATTTTTTTGTTCAAAAATACATAAAACTCTTGATTTGTGTAGTATTTTAGTCTAATTTATGTCCGCAAATGTTATTCCGAAAATTAAAATTAAATTTGATTTTTAAGAGAATAAAGCCTGGCCGGAGGGGTCAGTCGATATCCGATATAAAAATATCGAAAAAATATCGTATCGAACCGAGCTCTATAAAATTATTAATCTTAAATTACATTTAACCTAAAAATTTCTATTAAAAATATTTAAATTTTTAAAGAACCAATTTTCCAATGGATATCCAAACTTGCCATTTAATTTATGAAAGTTTTAATTATAATAACCAAGAAGTTCGTATGCGTTGGAATCCGGCAAATCCCAACCCTGTTTACCCTATTGGAAATATTTTATTACCCGATTTTAATCTTATGAATATACAAACTACTTTAGTTGTTGAGGTGATTATTTAATTTTTATTTATTTTTTTATTTGTCTTCTGTTAGAAGAATACCGTATTTCCTCCAAAATAACCCTAGCCTCTAAAATAGCCCTCCTCTTAGAGGTCGATTAAAAAATAAACCCATGGGGCTATTTTAGAGGATTTACCGTATTAGTTATCGAGATAATGATCCGTTTTCTAATAATAAAAGACCTGTCTATAGATCACCGTTTAAATGTTTTCGAAGAACTTTTGAAGGTTGAAAGTAAGGAATGGATGGGGTTATCGTTGGGTTTTCACATTTTCTAGTTTTGGGTTTCGAATCGAAAACAATTCTGGGCACCGGATAAACTTTTGCTTAGAATCCAGAAGAGCGAACAATTAAATTTTGAGGGCAAATAACAAAACTTAGGGTTATAACAAAGCGTGAACAGCCCCAATTAAAAAATTATTAATTTATTTAACTTTATTTTCAATCTAAAAAAATTCTTTTAGCCTTATCCTGCAGGAATGTGGGTATGTAAATTAATTATAATTTTAATTTAAAAAATTAAATTTAAAAAGGATGAATTACATGTTAAATTGTCTTTTGAAAGGGTTTTTTAATTAAATTAATTTTAAATTAAAATAATTTAGAGGTATATTTGGTATTTTCTACAAGCTTATGTGCCTACTTATTTAACTATATTTATAAGGTAAATAAAATATTTTTGAATTAAAAAATAATTTTAAAAAATTTTAAAGTTGGGTATCGTTTAGTCTTGGACCCAAAGCAATTCCTGCAAGAACTATGGTAATTTAAAATTTTTCAATAAGATAGTGCAATTTTTCCTAGACCGTAAAAATTAGGTACAATATAGTCGACTCCTAAATACCCCTTATGGTCCCTAAACAGGGATTCGCATAGTCAGCTCCTCCCTTCCCCCTACAACCCCATTGACCTACCAATTTTAAAATAAGTATCTTAAATTAAAGTTTCCTAATCATCCAAAGTAGATTTTAAAGTGAGGAACGCCTGGCTTGGAAGTGTACGGGGTCGGGTTTTGACTTTACTATTCTTTGGTATTCATGAGGAAATATCCCGAAAGGAATTTCGGGCTTTATCCCAGAAAAGTATAACTCAAGAAAACAATCCCGAAAAAAATTTCTACACCCTAACATTATTTTTAATTTAAATACTTGAGGGAAAAATAGATTTACCTAAATGTTCTTCTGTATTTACGTTAAAATTTAAAACCTTAAATCCTAAATTTTAAAAATATATTTTTGTTAAGCTCGGAGTCAACGCGCTTTTGGTTAGTTTATCAACCAGAATTTAAATTTCCTATTTTTTATTTTATTAAGGCAATGATTTTTCAATTTGGCAATATTATGAGGCAAAATCATTTTTTAAGAAATTTAATTTAAAAAAATTTCAGAAATTTGCCACGTGTCTCCTATGTAAAAGCAATTGATGTTTGGATGCTTGTTTCAATGTCCTTTGTTTTTTGCAGTTAATTTTTAACTTCAAAATAATCTTTTAAATTAAATTTTAGGTTTATTAGAATTGGCAATTGTTGGGTTTAAAGTTAGGGAAAAAAGTGGAGGATCGAAAAAAAATAGTGGAATTAATGGTAAATTTTGATGGAAATATTCTCTTGAAAAGGAGAAACATAAAATTATTTAATTACAATCTTTTCGAAAGACGGTTTTTTGAAAGTAAATGAGTTTTAAGATGTGGAATATGTACATATGTAGAGTTGTTAACGATTTTTACGTATCTGTAGCAGGAGGGTACGTAGCTCCGTCTACTACCATCTTTTTAAAGAGCATCAGGGCCCTTATAGAAAATTTCCTTAATTAAACGTATTAAATCAAAATACGCCCGTTTCTTTCGAATCCTGCCACGGGCGACCTCCTCGACGACCTCACAACCTCACTCGACCTCCACCTCCTCCTCGTAAACCTCCTCCTCGACCTCCTCGTTTCGCCCACCTCAAACAGGAACTCTACTACAGAGCTACAGGGGTATCAATTAATGCTTTCTCTTTTATCGCTTTAGATAGTTTAACCCCCGCCTAAGCGTTTTAAATGCCTAGGTGAATCATCCTTACAGTGATTACTATTTCAATTATTCACTGGGATGAGTAATTAAAAGGAGACGAGAACGATTTATGTATTTTTTAAATAATGAGGGAATTACATAAATTTTATTTAAAAAATTCTCTTTTTTTTAATTTTTAGTCCCAACAAAATACAAAAAAACAACAAATTTTGGAATTAAAAAAGAATTAAAATTTCTAAGATTTCCAACATTTTTGTGTAAAAATAACAAAAATAATAATAAATTAAGAAGAAAGAGCGATGTAGAAGAATTAAATGATAATTTTAGTGGGGATGAATTATCTCCTAAATTTGGTCCAGCAGCCGCTTTACAAAAAGGAACAGAGAGACGCTTTATGTTCCCGTTAATTTTTTATATAGTTTTTTTCTAAATTTGGGTTAAATTTTTTTCAGTTTTTCTAAGTCGAATACCGATATTTTTTGGAGAGGCAAAGGGGAAATTTTTAAATTAGCACTCATTATTCCTTGTGAAATTGTTGATTTTTGGTTATTAAAATTTAAAAGAGAACGTTTAATTTTTCCCAAAAATGGCAAAATAATTTATTTTAGTGAATAAAAACAATTTCTTTAATTTCTCCAAAGATCCGTTTCCCAAAAATTATTAAAAAAATTTTTTTTCACGGTTCCAATTTGCCGAACATTTTCAAATTTTTGGGACCTGTATGTTTTTTATTACCTTGAAGAACCTTAGAATGATCTTGCAGGAACTTTAGAACCTCCCAGAAAACCCAGGTTCTGAGGGTTGGCCCGTTGTTTAATTATACTAAATACCAATCCGTTTCCCAAAAAATATTTTTTAGAAATATGTTCTATTGTTTAAAAAATTTTTTTTATGTATTTTAGGGTAAACACAGAATTTGTAGTTAGCAATATTCCAACAAGAAGTTCAGCGCTACCTCAACAAAAATATCACCAAATACCTTTTCTTTCATATATTTTAATGCCATTTACAATAATTTTAACACCCTTAGCTAATGCACAACCAGATACTATTGATAAAGTGAATTTTTCAAGACATTTTTAAAATTTAAAATACACAAAAAATCCCAAAAAAATCTCAAAAAAAATTCGAAGTACCACAAGTACCCTTTTAAGTAAGGGTACTGTAGAGGGACTTTTTAAAGAGGTATTGGTTTCCAACCGTTAAATTTTTCATATTGAATAATTTGTATATTAAATGAAATTAAATGAACGTCTTATTAAAAGAATCTGTATTAATTGCCCTCCCTCAAATAATTACTCCCCACTTCCATTAATATCCCCATCCAGCGATAGTTTCAAACAATAAGTACCCTAAATCAAATGCCCTAAAAGACGTTCAAATTACCCTCCCCCGATTAATTATCCCTCCAGAGAAAGGTCGAAACACTAATTACCCAGGGTACTTAATAAAAGTTTTCACAGTATTTGACTAATGTATTTTTAAAAAATATTTTTTTAGATCTCAAGAATTGCATTTCCAACAATGTTCGCCTTATTTAATTTAAGTTTTTCTTTATTTTTTTAATATTTAGGAGGACTTACTAAAAAATAAATTATAAAAAAAATCTTTTTTAGATCGTTTATTGGTCATATTATGGGAGAAAAGCTGCTGAAGCTAGCACTAAAATGATGTCGAATGGAGGGGCGTTGTTTAACAATTAATTTTTAGCTGAGAAAATAAATGATTTTTATTTTTTAATTAAAAATAAAGAATTATATGTACATATGTTTTTACAATTCTATCTGACCCAAACAAACTAAAAAGATTGGGTCCTGGAATGTCAAAAATTCTTGGTCTTGGGGCTAACATTTTCTTTTGTTCTCAGTTTGTAAAAATTTCTTCTAATCTCCAAAAAATAAAAGTCTTGCTTGTGTGTCGAATAGGATAGAGGACCGAGGTCCTCCCAGTCAGATGAGGGTTGGAAAATTAAAATAGTTTTTAGTGAGAAAAATTCCAGGAGTTGACGGAGAATCCTAGAGCTAAATTTATTCCTCTCAAAGGAAAATAGAAAAAAGAAAAGAAAATTCTTTTTCCTGTTCAAAAAGTGATCTTTTGGCGTTTCCTGTAATGGCTGGTTATTGCCAGTCCGTAAAGAACATTAATAGTTTGGAAGAGATAAAATAAAGGGGAAGTTGTGCAAAAAATTACGTGAATCGATAAACAATTGAGAAATGATTGGAAGGAGTAGACATGACTGGAAATTTATTTTTAAAGAAATTTTTGCAGAAAATCTCTGTATAATTAACTCTTACTGAATTTTGAGTGTCGTTTTACAAAATAAGAAAATTTTTTTTTTTCTTCAAAAATAAAAATATGTATATTAAGTAGTTTTTTGAAAGTCTTTTTACTTTATTTTCTTTTTTACTACTCAATTGACACCGCAGCAAAATGACTTGCTTCGCCCGGCTGGTTGATAATAATGACTTGGAGAAGACGACTTTTCTTCTCTCCTTTTTATTCTGCAAACTCTCCCCCTACCCTTACCACTAACTTTCTCCGTCATCACCCCTTTCCAGCCGTATGACGCGCTACCACCTTCTCACTCTTTCTGCACCCCCCTCAATATATCTCTAACCCATCAACCCTTCACAGAGAAGTCCCGCCAGCCTTCCCCCCTTTTTTACACAAATTTCCCCACCCATTCATAGGAAAACAACAGGACCAAAACTAACACTAAAATACAAGTCTACTACGCCTTTTTGCAAAAGTCGTCTTTCTTTTTTACCCAACAAATGAAGTCTCAGATATCCAACAGCTAATGTCCATTTCGGTCTTTTTACACATCCCTTAGCTTTTCCTTTTTTCTAAATTGATCGTGTTTGTTTGTTTGTCTGCCATCCGGCAATCGTCCTTACCCCAGTCGACCCCTTTTTTTACAACTGTCCCTATATATTAACCCCTTTACTCTTCCTCAATCGTTACGCTCGCATGCGCTTCCTGCTTGTGTTTTCCCGTCATCTCTTTTTGCTCTTCCTCCAACAATTCTCTCCGTCTTCAGTGTCCTCCGACCATCCGTCACCACCACTTTCCCAACCGCCCAACACCGACCCACAAAACAGCCACACACCAATCCTTTCCAGCCCCACCCACCCATTTTCCTACTACTAGCCCTTCCCTTACCCCCAACCATTTCGCCCCACAACAGCACACAAGTAGTACTTCTTTCTTCATCCGCTCCCCCCAACACTTCCCCCATTTTTTCCATTCCTCCTCCACCATTCTCCTCATTTCTTCCTCTTATCCACTGCCCCAGACCGATCGACCAATTCTTCCGCTGACAACACCGCTTCCCCCAAAATATACACTTTCACCAACAACCACCTCCTTTTTTATCCTTCGTTCCCTTACAATTCCCCCACCAACACAGCCTCAGTGGTGGGGGTCCTCTCTTTTCGTTGCACCCCTTGTGCCCTTCTTCAGCCCCATCTGCAGCCTTTCCCCTTGTTCGACGCCGCCGACGTGTGCTGATGCAGCTTGGCCCCCTCCCCGGTGTTGGGGTTTCTTTCTCTCAAATTTGTAACGCTACGTAACCTCGGTTTTTCCTCTTTTTCCTTTTAGACCTTTAACCTTCCCTTACCCCTGCCTAAAATGGAACATGGTCAAGATTATTGAAATTAATTAAATTTTAATGTATGTAGATCAAGAGTTGTAATATTGTAAAATAAAGTAATATAGCTAAAAAATGTCTTGGAGTCTCTTCAGTGGCATGGGAGTGATGAATTTCAAGTGAGCAAGTTTTTCTCTTATTAACCCCCTCTTACATTTTATTTCCTGGAAAATCAAAGGTAACCACAATAATTAACCGGGTCGATCCAGATCATTAACCAACCCACGTCTAACAGAGTGGTTTACCTTTGAAACAATATTTATCAATTTATTCAGTCCAGCAATGGGTTTTCCACCAAATGCACACCAAATTGTTACTATGCAACAGAATGCCCAACAGCTCGCTGCCCAACAACAACAACAGCAGCAACAACAAGCTCAGCAGCAGCAACAACAGCAACAAGTTATTAAGCGAGAACCAGCAGCTCCTACAATGGCACCATCTGCTGGAGTTCAGCAACAACAATCAAATAGCAGCAATAATTCGGCTTCTGCAGCGGCGGCGGCCGGTAATAAAAAAAGTGAAAGTTTATGAGATTAAATTATTTTAATTAAATTTTAAAAATATTGGAAGTTTTTTTAATTTGAGGCAAAAAGAGGGGTGTAAGGGGCAAAAGAGGGCAAAAAATGTAAGGGAAAGGGTTTGAGAGGCGTGATTTTATTAAGGTCAAAAGAGGAAATATTTGTAGTTGAAGGGTGTTATAGTTTGAATATGTTGGGGGAAATGGTGGGCTAATAATTTTTTTTCATCCTTTATTTTTTTAGGAGTTTATTTGAATTTATTTTTAAAAATTGTTTTGATATTTTTGTCGAGGAGGAATTATAGGAGGAAAATAGGGAGTTAAAATTAATGACATAATACGTTTCCATGTTCTATACATTTTAAAGCATATAGCTTTTAGCCTTCCTAAGGCTGTGAAGTAGGCGGCGTGGTGTATTGGATAACACATCAGTCCGGTCTATTGAAGATGCTGGTTCGCTCCCAGCCGCCGATTAACCTTTTGCACTGGCTAAAGGAGAGAAATAGCTTTTCCAGCTGATTTACTGCATATAGAAAATACATTAGTTAAAAATAAATTAAAATAGTCTGCAAAGCTCTAAAAAAGTTGAAATAAATAAGGGAATAAAATGTTGGCACAAAGGGATTTTGACGCCTATTTTTTGATTCTTTAGTCCAGTGGATCCGCTCTCTGTTCATTATTAAATTCGAGGGAGGTTCGAACCCGTTCGGGTCCCACATTTATTATCGCCTTTATTTTATCCTTTTAAAGTCCTTTTTTTAGTTATTTTATAGGTATTTTAAACAAAAAAATTTAATTAAGCTGCTGCAGCACAAAACATGGAGTTTATGGCTACTGTTCAAAACAAAGATTTGCTTGAAGAATTAAAGGTGCAAAGCCAAGCGATTGTTCACAAAACAATTACAAATGGCACTCCAGATGGAAGACAACAGATGATTAGGTGTTTTTTGAGAGATTTTAGGCAACAATGAACCTTTTTTCCTTAAAATTCTAGGCACTATCGGTGCAATCGTCATCGCCACCAAGAGAAGTGTCCATTCAAAATGTTGGCAATTCAATCTGACGACGGCACATTTAAGGTTTTCAGAAGTGGGGAACACAACCATGCTGTGGTGCCGTCAGGTTAAGCAAGAAAAAAATTTCAAAAAAAAATTCTGGGAAAAATTTCTGAAAATTTTCTTTTAAAAATTCTGGAAAAAATTTTCAGAAAATCAAAAAAAAATTTTTTTGTTCAAATAATTAATTTTTATATTTCATATGTGACATTGCTCAAGTACATCTCTTCAATTTTACAGGTCGGGCGCCTTCATGCCGGGCCCAGGGTGGGTGGGGCTAATCGCTCCCACATCCCTTTATCAATCTTTGCCAATTGTCCCATTTTCATTTGCAGGCGGTCAGCGAACGAGTTGGATTCCACATGCGACTGTTCGGACTGCAGACGAGTTGGAGACGCTTAGGCAGGTGTGAAAATTTGTGAAAAAAAATTTTAAAAATTGAAAAAAATTTTTCAATAGGGCCAACGCGTGACTGTTCATAAGACGACTTTTCATGGCAAGAATCGTCACTTTCGATGCAATCGACACAGACACAATGAGCGCTGCATGTTTAAATTGTTAGAAAAATATTTTTAAAGTTGTTTAAAAAATATTTTTTAGATTAGCTGTGACTGAGAATAATGGAACAATTAATGTTTTTCGATCGGGAGAACATAACCATCCAATTCAGCAGATCTCCAACTGCGTTTATTGACTTAGAGAATAAATAAAAGAAATAAAAAAATAAAATGAGAGGGAGAGAGAAAAGAGAGGGGGAGATGTTGGGGGAAATTGGAAAGGAAATAAGGGGGGAGGGCTAAGCAGAAAATACGTGTTTTTGGGGGTTAAAAAGGTTCCAAAAAAATTTCAAAATATCTGAAATTTTTTTTAATAATTTTTAAAAAATCTCTTCTTCTCTCTCCCAATATTTCTTAAATTAAAATAAAATTACTTTTTTTAAATATTTTTGGTGCTACTCATTGCTTTTTGCGTATGTGTACGTGCCCTTTCTCAGCCAATACATTTATTTTTTTAATAAATATTTTTAAATTTTAAACTATTTTTTGTATGTTGGTATTCAAACTCATATTTTTTTAATTTTATAGTCTATTCTTTTTAAAGAAAATTTGGGGCTACGTTATCCCTATGTGCTTTTTCACGGACTTTTTTGCAGACATTTCATTCCTCAACTCCACTCTACTTCCCTGAAATATTCTTTCATTTGAATTGCCACACGGAAATAGGGAATCGATGAAAGAAGAAAGTCTGAGGACAGATGAAGTGTAAGAAAAAAAAGCCTGCGAAAAACACGTGGGGATAACGGAGTAGTATCGAAAATTTTAAAAATAATTTTAATGTCTGGGTATTAAAATATCAATTCCATTTATTGTTGAGAAAAGAGAGGTAGATCCAGCTTGCTAACATTTAACCTTCTAAAAGATAAGGCAAACTCGTCTCTGTATTTCGATCGATAGAGAAGAGCACCTATCAATAACTGTCTAGATGCCTGTTTGAGACTAAACTTTTAACTCCCCCACTATTTTTAAAGTCCGAAAAAATTAAATTTATTGCAATTTGGGATCGAAAAAGGTCCGGGACGGATTTCTAAACAAAATACCAGAAAGCTTAATGTATACAAAATTTCTATGCGCCTATTATTCGCCGTTTATTTTTTTAGGGGAAAAGAAAAATAATAGTGAGCAAAAACAGAAAAGTGCCTTTTTTAATGAAATTTAACATTCCCCAACATTCCTAATCGATAAAAATTGCCGTCGTTTTTGTATCAAACTGACCCTAATTTAATAAATTCAATTTTTTTTCAGTTCAAATAATTAATTAAAAAAATGTGGCGGGTGGGTGGGTTATGCATCTCATCAGTGGAATGCCTAGTGTTTGTCCTTCTGATAGATTAAGGTAAATTTTTTGAAAAAAATTTCGCTGAAATTTTTTGACGAAATTATTCTTGAAAAAAGAATTTAAAAATTTTTTTTTGATGCCAAAAATGCAGTCCATAATCAGAGTTGCTGACTGCAGATTGTAGCTGCGGATTAGCTATCGAGATTTTTGAAAAGTCTGTTCCTGGACTGGGGTTTGATTTATGGACATGGGCCGGATCCTGGACCTGTAGTCGAGGAAAAACAGGCCAAGGAAAACTCCAGTAAGGCCAAAAAATGCCTGGGCCTTGACTCTGTGTACAGGAAAAACCCAGGCCTTGGACCAGACCCAGCTGCATCTCTACTGCTGACATTCCATCCTTTAAGTCATTTAACTGCAGCTAGAAATCGAACCGAGACGAGATTTTTTTGAGATATCGTTTACGAATCCTTCCCAGTCTGGTCTCTAATTACAACAAATAATTTTTTTTTTAATTTTCATTATTTTTTAAAGCCGTTGCCAATTCCTTCTCCAACGTTACAACAAAATCGTTAGGCCAATCAATGTCTGTAGATACCTGTCGAATAGCCTGTGGAACGGCTAAACTATTAACTTCAAATTCCTCATATAGTAATGGAAGTTCTACTAACAGTACAGCAACAACAAGTAAGAAGAAACGACCAAATTTACAACAAATAGCTTCTACTAATTCCAACACAGTTATTTGAATCTGGTGAATACTATTTAATAAAAAATTTTTTTTTTGAAATTCTTAAAAATTTTTTTTGAAAATTTTTTTGAAAATTTTATGTGCAGTAGAGATTGAGATTTTGAAAAGCCTGGACCTGTTCCTGGACTCTGGAGTTGATTTCTTGACCTGGACTGGATCCTGGGCCTGTAGTCCAGGAAAAACCCAGGAAGGTCAAAAAATTGCCTGGGCCTGGACTCTGGGTACAGGAAAAACCCAGGCCTCGATCCAGGTCCAGCTCGATCTCTAATGTGCAGTACCATAGCCTAAGTGTTCTAATTTTACTCAACTTCTTAGTTTATCCCCATCTCTCTCTCATCTATCGGACAGTCTTTTAGAGGGGGTATGCGAGTCAACCTTTCAAATTAATTCTTGAATTCTAAAATTTTTATTTTTTAGCTAATAATTGGTGTCAATTTAATTTTGCTATTGACCATATATTTAAACTTTGCTCAATTACTTGTTTGGCCAGTATTAGCATTGTTCGATTTATTACTATACGAAAACCTTTTAATAATAAAGTAAATTTTTAATTTTATTGAAAAACGAAGGTTGAAAGGACATATTTAACCCCACAAATCTCTAGGATCGAAAATTTCCCATGACTCGTGATCATGGTTTTATGCCAAAGTTTGACTCCAAGAAACGTCTTCAATAACGTTTTAAGTTATGCCTTATCAAGTCACAATCTCTATGTAAATCTCGGCCCTATCCCAAAAGAAGGGCGGAATCGTTTTTTTTCTTTACCTGCAAGGAAAGGAAAAATGGAGTAAAATGGAAAGAAAATGAGACGAATGGCAAAACACGGACGGGCAAAACATGGACTCGGGTCAGACCAAATACGGACGTCTGTCCGAGTCCGTTCGTCTCCATTTTTCCTTTCCTTGCAGGTATTGAAAAAACGATTCCGCTCTTCTTTTGGGATAGGGTCCAAATCTCTATGGAGGGTAAATCTAAGCTCTTTCTTCTCTTAAAGCCTTTGCTTAATTGAACATGGAAAGGCGCCGTATATCCTAATCTGGAATAGTCCACTAACCTACCACAAGGCCATCCTATTTCGGGGTGTCATGTAAAATTGGCAGGTATCCATATTCACTAGTCTACCTCAACCCTAAAATTTTGGTATGGTCGGACATATCTCAGAGTCATTTGGTAAAAAATACGAGATAAAGGGAAGTATTCTTGGATGAGACTTTGTGAGGAATAAAGGGTCGAATTGAAAAGAGAAAATAAAATCTTCAATTCCTTGCCGTTTTCTCCAAATAAAAATTAATTAAATTATAGATATTCATTTTTAAAGGTTCGTCGTTTAGCTGTTCAATTAACCCCCTTATGTGCCCTTTTATCAATCGGAACATGTGGTGCCTCTATTTTATGGTTATCTTTATATTCAGTTAAAGCAACCGAAAACGGTTTAAATTGCACAATAACCCAATAACAACAAATAAAAAGAAGAAACGTCCAAATTTACAACAAATAGCTTCTACCCAACAACAACAACAAAATAATTTATTTATAGCAACAGTCCCAAAACCTAAATATATGAGGGAAATGACTATGGCAATAATGAGGATTGCCGCTTTTCATTTAATTTGTTGGCTACCGTTTTGTTTGATTCAATTAATTCCAACACAGTTATATGAAGCTGGTGAATATTTAATGAAAAAATTTTTTTGAAATTTTTTGAGAAGCTCAAAAAATTTTTGAAACTTTTTGAAAATTTTCGAAAAATTTTTTAAAAATTTTTCGAATTTTTGTCCTAATTTTTTGAAATTTTTTAAAAATTTTTTCTTGAATTTTTTTGAAAAAATTTTTTGAATTTTTTAAAAAAATAAAAAAATTTTCTGTTGAAAATTTTTTTAAAATTTTGTTGAAAAATTTTTTCTTGAAATTTTTTGAAAAACTTCAGGAAAAAAATTTTTTTTGGAAATTTTTGAAATTTAAAATTTTAAATTCTCTCAATAGCATCCCATTAATTATGAAAATCCATATTGGGATCAATCTGCTTTTTACAAAAAAATAAATGATAGACAAATCCGCTTATAGATAGACCTTCTAAAATACCCTAAATAAATATTAATTTTATTTATTCTATCCTAAAAATATTTTTCTTTTCAAGGCCCAACAATTCGAAAACATTCAGCCCAATCATCTATCGACAATCTATTTTTCGGTGGCGGAGAAAAAACCTCTATAACAACAACCCTTTTATCTGCCTCCACATTAGCTACAACAGCTCGTCGTTCCCCACAAACAAATAATTTATCAACAGGAGAATTTGGATGGAGGGATGGTCGAGCCCATACTTTTTGTGCCCCTATAAGGGCTATTCCCTCAACAAATAATTTAATAACAAATAAAATACCCCCAAAACTCCCAACAACTTCCCACCTACGTTTTGCCCAACAATTAATTGCTGCAACAGTGCATGGGGTAGAGGAAAGGGAGAAAACAACAATACCCACAAATATTATAAAACAAGGAAGAAGAGAATCTGCAGCAGAAAAAACAACAAATTTTGGTTTCGACACTCTCAAGTGGAGAACAACCTTTTCTCTTCGAATTTTTGGTTCAATTGGGGATAAAGAGAATAGTCTGTCTATTATTGAGTGAGTAAAATTTTTTGCAGACTGAAATTTGCGGACAAATCTTAAGTTAAAGAATAAAAATAAAATTTTTTCTCAAAAAATATATCGAGGGCGATGTCAATTCAATGGCCACACATTTAAAAAATTTTTTTTGAATTGGACTCAAATAATAAAAGCGTAAAAAGGGAACGCGATCCTGCGGGATTTAATCACCAAAAGCCTTGAGTTCTTGTCGCTAAAAATCCGGATATGTATCGCTTAACAAGTTTTCAAATAAATTTTCGACCAATTGAATTTCGGAATTGGTCAGTTGAGTGCCACCTATTGAGTGTAAGCTAGCTTTGATCGGCTATAGCTTTATTTTGCTTGATCCCATCCAAATGAATTTTATATCATTCGAAAGCCATTGATAACCGGTGTTTTTATTCCAAATGGGTGGATCAAGTTCGATTCTCTTATTAAAATGTTATAACCCTTTAAATATGAAAAAACATCAAATAGTTCCACTTGTCGGCCTGTAACTTTTTATCGATTCATCAGACTTGATCTTTCCTATTGTTAAAAAGATATCACTTATCGAAGGTTTTGAAAGGATTACAGATTCACGCGGATAGGATCAAGCATAAGAAAGTTGTAGCAGATCAAAGCTGGCTTACACTCAATCAGCCGCACTCAAATGACCCCAATCCTTAAATTTGTAAAAAGATAAAGAGACACAACGCTATTTTCGCGGGAATTGAGATAAACGGTTTAAAGTCAAATACAATAGGTTTATTAGCGATTCCCTCTCTTTTAAGCTTTATCCGCTTCTAAAAATTTAAGTTTTGAGCCACCCAGGTTGAATTTAATCGAGTTTATTTTACGGGTTTTATAAAACGCCCTATAATTTTCAAAAATTTATATTTTTACTTTTGTAGAACTATTCACATAAACAAACTTTTATTCAACAAAATGGACAAGTTATTATTATTTTTATTTGGAGTATTTGTTGGTGTGATTGTGTAAGTTTAAATTAATTTTATTGAAATAAATTTTTTCATTTCAAGTACTCTTTTACTATTTAAAATTTGTCCTGCAATTTATTTATTTGTTATTAAGAAGAAATCTACATGGAATTAATTTAATGACGATTTCTGGATTTTTTCGAATTGCTGCATCGATGACTTTGGAACCGATCACTCCTTTAAATTTGTTGCAAAGTTTTCTTTCTCTCTTTCCTTTTCCTCTTTCCTTTTCCATTTAATTTATTCATTACCTTATTTTATTTAATAATGGTTTAATAAATTTGTTTTTGTATATCCAATTTTAAAATTGTAGTTATGTATTCCTAAAATATTGTTAAATACATTTTATTCGTTTTTAGAAATTACTGACATTTTAGACCAACGAAATTTTCGATGGTTCCATCAATAAGGATCCAGACAACCCAACCCCTTCAGCCGAAGACCTGCACCACGTGGCCATCCACGAGGCTGGTCACGTGGTTGCTAGCTTTTTCTGTGAGTCTACAACAAAGGCAATAAAGGTTTGTATTTATATTTATTTTAGTACGGTGTCCACTCTCTAGGCTATTTGGGGCTATCCGATTGTCTCCCTCATTTTATTTTTTTCTCGTCCCCTTTTAAAAGATTAAATGCAAATAATAGTGTAGAAAATATATGCCGATAAGTACCCAGCATTTTTTGTTAGAACCAACTGTCCGTTATTTTATGGGTGGGCCTTTTATTTTTGTAAAAGATTTTCTCGGCATAAATGAGCCACACAACCCCAAACGTTGACAAAGGTTCTAATTGCAGAAGCTGGTGACTTACAGCATAGATTTTCACTGTAAGTTTTCATTTAATCAGAAAAAGGAATGAAGAGGAAAAGGAGAGTGGAGGTGATAATCGGATAGTACCCAAGGGCATGTTCAAGGGGCTATAGCACCCATGACCCTGAAATGGGGATAATGGAAAAACAAAGAAACCGACCTCCTAGATATACCCTTGATAGTACCGGCTTTTTTGCGGTCCTTTCCTTTTTTCGGTTTGACTATTCCATTCCGTCTCTTAATTAGGATATTTTTGGGTTTAAATGATATTAAACAGTATAACTAATCGCCTCCGGTAGACAAACTTTTTTAATTAGGTGACAATTGTATTGGAAGGCAATCGACTTGGCCTTACTACTTTTGCAAATAGAGCAAATATTTCTTGGACTGCTGAGGAATGTTTTGAGAAAATGATGACTTTTCTCGCTGGAATGGCAGCAGAAGAATTATTTATTAAGAAGGATTCAAAAATGGCTCAATATTTAAGTCAAATGCGAATCAGAAATTGCTCAAGCAATTGTCAAGAAGATTTAGCCAAAGTCTACAATTTGGCTAAAGAGATGACAATGAAATATGGAATGAACCCAGAGATTGGCCCTATTGGTATTGGTGATTTTAGTACAGAAGAAATGGAAGCAAAAGTTCTCATCCACGCTGGGAACTTGGCTAAATTGGCTTATGACAAATGTTTGGAACTAATTGCTGACAAGGAAATTTTTGTAAAGAAAGTTGCTGCCCGCCTTTTGGAAAACAATACAATTGAAGAAAAGGAATTGAATGAGTATGTTTTACAAATAAATAAAAATATTTAAATTTTATTAAAAAATGATATTCTTGCAGATAATTGGGTAAGAAGGCTTTGGAAAGATGTATTGAACTTCTGCGTGACAAGGAAGAATTAGTTCGAAGAATTGCTGGTTGCCTTCTAACTAGCAAAACAATAGAAGGACTTGAACTGAACCGGTTTTACAAATAACCAAAAAATGTAAATTATATTTCAGTTTGATTCTTGGTTGACATTTTTAATGAAATCAATGAAGATTCGGTAATAGTCAATTGCAGAAGAATATTCAAATTGATGAAGAATATTTTGATATAAAAGAGAATTATTTGGGCGTATACATAATATACATATAATTTATTTTCCTATTTTTATTTAATTTATTTTTGCCTCTTTTATATTAATGCTGGTTTAATAAACTGCTTTTCTAGTTTTAGCCAATTTTAAGAATCAGTTATTTATTCCTTAAATATTTTTAAATACATTTTGTTTATTTATCTTTAGAAAATTTTTTTTAATTCTGATAAAATTCTTGAGCAATCAAGAATTTGAACAATAATAAAAACAACAGGGTACAGCCCAAAACGGCGCGCGGCCATAACGGCGCAAAACCATAACTAGCTAGATATTTTCTGACCCTTAGCAATTTTGGTACCAATTTCTTTAGCTCGATGAGAGGAATTGGTTGATACTAAATCTGGCAAGATTAGGAAATCTTAAAGCAAGATATGACTTTGCGCCGTTCTGGCTGTGCGCCGTTTTGGGCGTGTCCCAAAACAACATTATATATTTTTAATGCAGGGTTCCGATCGACAAAATGCCAACCAAAAGTATAAAAATCTCGATTTAAAAGTATATAGGGAAAAAATTTTCAAATTTAAAGTATACTCAAAATTAAATTAGAAAATATTTATTCGTGCTCAAATCTTGTATATTTCTCTCCTAAATGAATCTTTTCTAATAATTTCTTGCTTCCACTGAGCATTTTGTGCATTTAACGCATGACATGTAAAAATTCGCTGATACAAGAAATAAAGCCCTGACAGTCTTAACCTCGAGCAAATTACTTTCTTTCGTCAATTTTCAGCGCCGCCGCGATAATTTTGAGAATTTTTTAGCTCTAGAAGCCAGATTTCTCCCATTTTCAGAGCCGCAAGCGAAAATTTTTTGAAATTTGGAGCCCAAGAAGCTAGATTTCTTTCTTTTTCAGCGCGCAGGCGAAAATTTTGAGAATTTCGAAGGCCCTAGGCTAAAAAAATTCACTTTTTTGCCCAATCCCTTCCCCAATTTCATTTTCAATTAAAAATGCTGATTTCAAAGTATATACTTTCAATAAAGTATAAATTCAATTTCGTAAGTATGGAGGTCGGTTTCAAAGTAGAATACTTTCAATTAAAGCACGAATCGGAACCCTGTTTTAATGGATTTAATTAAAGAATTTTTAGCTCAAGTATTAAATGAGAGAATTTGTTTGGCATCAAATTTCTCTTCTGGAAATGAAAAGAAAAATTAAGCAACAACAAATTCGTCTTCTTGTCCAACAACAACAAATAAACAACAAGAATCAGCAATTATTGAAGCAAATAAATATTTGGAGAGTTTGAAGTCTGTCTATACATTTTGCTGGGACATTCAGAATGTAAAGAATCTGGCGATAAATTGTGTTTGACTGAGGTTTGTATCGAAATATGTAGTTGACTGTTTACTTTTAGAAAAATTTTTGGGTTGGGGAAACACAAGTTGGGTACAGCCCAAAACGGCGCTCGGCCATAACGGTGCAAAGCCATAACTTGCTGGAAAATGTCTGGCCCTTGTCAATTTTGGTACTAATCTCCCAAGCTCGATATGAGGAATCGCTTGATTCTAAATCTGGTAGGAATAAGAAATCTTAAAGCAAGTTATGGCTTTGCGCCGTTATGGACGCGCGCCGTTTTGGGCGTGTCCCGAAAAAGTTTATATTGAGATATTTTGTCATTATGTAACAAAATATGTAAACAGTTGAATCTCATTTTTAAATACCTCTAATAAGATTAAATAAACTTCAGTTTAGTTTACATTTTTTAGTTTGGTTGATAAAATTGGGGGAGTGCCTAAACAATACCCTGAATTTAATGGCACTGTTTTTCAACTTCATTCAGTGACCAACCAAACTTTATAAATGTATCATAAATTGAGGTTTACCTAATGTCGAAGGGATATAAGAGTTTCTTGAAAAATTGGGTATTCGAGGTCCGGATTATGTTTACTTTTCAAAACTAGAGAAGAAATTAAAAATATTTTTAAAGGTTTGGACCTTCAAGCTCCACCATCAACGACCTCCCGATTCTATTGGTCGTCCTCCAATGCTGCCATTATTTAAAACAAGCTCTACGTTCTCAGCTACATTTTTCACCTCTTCATTCTTGGTTGACAGCTAACACAACTCTTCCTTGTGGCCTTTTCCCCGTTGTTCGGTAATTTTATAATTTTTAGATCGAGTTAATAGTCTCTGTTGGATGGTAGAATTTTACACTTTGAAAGTAAAGTTTGCTGTAGGGTTCGATCCCTTTCGATTCTCAGCGTTTTTGTCTAATCATCTTCCAAAAAATTATTTTTTATTAAATAAAAATTTATTTCTTTTTTTTTATTAAAGTGTCTTGGCCAGTGATCATCTACTTTCAAATCCAATTTCTTCTCAAGTCCAATCTTGCAAATTTCCTGCTTGTTGTTGTTCTACTACTCCAAATGGAGGGGGAATATGGTTAGAACTTTGTGTTCAGTGGTTGAAACGAGAATATTTTCTTTCAAAAGCGCCAATTTTGTGTCCTTCTATTGAGTAAATTTTAAAGAGAAAATTTTAAAAATTTTCAAAAAAAATTTAAGAATGGATTGTAACGATTCTTGGGTTCTTCCACCTTTGTCTGATACAAATAATGGGCTCAACCAAGAACAAAATCAGCGTCCAAGTTCTTCGCTAAGTTCATCATTGTGTAGTAGCAGTAGTGACTCTGATGAAGATATTCAAGAGGAAGATGAGAGTGAATTAGGTTTTATTTTTAACTCTATTTTATGAAAAAACTTTTTCGAATAAGTACCTCAATAACTAACTTTTACGTAAAGACCTCAAGAATTTGAAAAACGTCAATTTAAGTCACTGGGCGTGAGAGAACTCCTTAAACGATACCTTCAATTTAAAGGCATCCCATTGTGAGGGTCCAAATTGATTTACTTTATCAAGAAATCGATAGAAAATATTTAAAAATTTTTTAAAGGTTTGGACCTTCAAGCTCCACCATCAACGACCTCCCGATTCAATTGGTCATCCTCAAATGCTGCCATTGTTTTTAAAACAAGCTCTACGTTCTCAATTACATTTTTCGCCGCTTTGTTTTGTGGATAATAATATTCGGTTTTATTTCTAAAATTTTACTTTTAATTTTTAAATTTCCCATTCTTTTCAAGTTATTCACTTCAATTAATGGTTGTTCCAACCCAATCAATGGTAATGGCACCCGGTGGCGGTTTCTTCTCTGTCCAACGAGTTAAATATCCAGTTCAAACATTCTTTTTCTTCAACGAAATGGGTGGTTCTTCACTAAATGAGATCTCAACAAGAACTCCAGCTTTATTACATTTGGTAGATAAAAAGAAAATAATCAAATAGTAATTGTTTAGAAAATTTATGTCGATAAGTACCCAGAATTTCTTGTTATAACCAACGGTCCGTTATTTTATGTGTGGGCTATAACTGGGTGAGAAGGACTTTCTACTAAACCACTAAAATGAGCCTACTTCCTCCTATGTTTTTTGTCAATTTCAAACCCTTTATCTCAGCCCAAAGCTGTTTCCACGGACTAATTTAATGTCATTCTACTCAGCTCGCCGAGCTTAAAACAAGATGATTTTATTACATTGGTCTTAGCTCGGCGAGGGAGTACGGGAGATATGGAGGAATTTGACAAAAATAGAGGATAAATGCAAACCTTTTTTGCCTTTTCTGTTGACTCACTCAAGAAACTTGCCACCGCGTGGCCGGCCTCATGAATGGCCACGCGGTGGAGATCAGCCAAAGAAAGGGTTGATCCAGCATGTTCTTTACGGATGCAGCAACAGTCCAAATTGTAAAGGGTGGGGCTATTGTAGACATCAAATCCGGTTACAGGTTTAAGAATATTAACGGCTGCATTTTTTAAAAATTCGGAAGTAGCAGCAGCAGAAAGACGATTGAATCCAAATCCATTAGGCGAAGGTTTTTTCTTGTTATAGACCCTTATTGCTCTTTCAGTAGCCTCACAGAAAAAGCTAGCAACCACGTGACCAGCCTCGTGGATGGCCACGCGGTGCAGGTCTTCGGCTGAGGGGGTTGGGTTTTCATCTTCTTTATTAATTGAGCAACAATTTAAATTGTATAATGTTTTGCTTTGACTGAGGTTTAAGCTGGTAATGGGTTCCATATTGAAGACGGAAGAAGCTGTAGAAGAGGATTTTTTCCAAATAAATTCTTTTTGTAAATAAAGAAATAAAGGCACGACGGACTTGAAGTGAAAAAATTTATTTCTTAAAAATTAATTTAAACTTACATAGTAGCCCAGGTTGATTTAATCAAGTTTAGTTTACGGGTTTTATAAAACGCCCTATAATTTTCAAAAATTTATATTTTTACTTTTGCAGAACAATTCGTTATAATAAATATTTTTTCAACAAATTTACCTATTACCTCAACAAACAATTTTTGAATGGAGAAATTATTATCATTATTATTAGGAGTAGCTATTGGTGCTACTATGTAAGTTTAAATTAATTTTTAAGAAATAAATTTTTTCATTTCAAGTCCGTCGTGCCTTTATTTCTTTATTTACAAAAAGAATTTATTTGGAAAAAATCCTCTTCTACAGCTTCTTCCGTCTTCAATATGGAACCCATTACCAGCTTAAACCTCAGTCAAAGCAAAACATTATACAATTTAAATTGTTGCTCAATTAATAAAGAAGATGAAAACCCAACCCCCTCAGCCGAAGACCTGCACCGCGTGGCCATCCACGAGGCTGGTCACGTGGTTGCTAGCTTTTTCTGTGAGGCTACTGAAAGAGCAATAAGGGTCTATAACAAGAAAAAACCTTCGCCTAATGGATTTGGATTCAATCGTCTTTCTGCTGCTGCTACTTCCGAATTTTTAAAAAATGCAGCCGTTAATATTCTTAAACCTGTAACCGGATTTGATGTCTACAATAGCCCCACCCTTTACAATTTGGACTGTTGCTGCATCCGTAAAGAACATGCTGGATCAACCCTTTCTTTGGCTGATCTCCACCGCGTGGCCATTCATGAGGCCGGCCACGCGGTGGCAAGTTTCTTGAGTGAGTCAACAGAAAAGGCAAAAAAGGTTTGCATTTATCCTCTATTTTTGTCAAATTCCTCCATATCTCCCGTACTCCCTCGCCGAGCTGAGACTAATGTAATAAAATCATCTTGTTTTAAGCTCGGCGAGCTGAGTAGAATGACATTAAATTAGTCCGTGGAAACAGCTTTGGGCTGAGATAAAGGGTTTGAAATTGACAAAAAACATAGGAGGAAGTAGGCTCATTTTAGTGGTTTAGTTTGCTTCTACCTAAGAATTCTAAAAGAGAAATCAAAATTATGGAATTTTAGAGAGGTTAATTATCGAGCATATATACATAATATACATACTATATAAATTTATCTTTCCATTTACTTTTAATTTATTCTTGCCTTTATTTAATAATGGTTTAATAAATTTATTTTTGTAGATTTAGCCAATTTTAAATAGCTAATATACCCGGGGTTTTATAATCGGGGTTTATACTGTAAAATAAATTAACCGAATAATTTTTAAACCAAGTTCATAATGAATAGCCGCATACCCAGTGTTCTATATCGGGGTGATTATAGAATTAAAATCTGATTGAGTTTAATGAAATCATTCAGTGATCAGAGCGAGCTAAAATAACATTTTGCTTCCAACGAAACGAAAAAAGTAAAATCAGTTTAGAAACAAAATAAATTTTCAACTAAACATTAAACTAAAGAAAAAATAAATTCTCAAACGAAACGAAACGAAAATCATGAAAAATCCACGAAAAACGAAACGAAAATTCTCGCCCAGCTTTGACAGGGATAAGAGAATGTAATAAAAAATTTTATCAAACAATCTTTGCTTTTTATTAAAACGTTTAACATCGGACCCAACTTTATTGTTTGTGTGTCATTTCTTATTGTTTATTTTTTTAACAACAATAAATTTCTTACTCAAAATAAATTTCTTACTAAAAAATTCGTTGTTTTCATTTACTACATAGAAATCATTCATTGTATTTTTCTTTAATTCTTTTTACCATTTTTTAAATTTTTTTAAGGTTTTATTTATTTTCTCTTATCGTTTTTAAATCTTTGTTATAAATTAACTAAAGTAATTTATTTTTATTTAATTTATTTTTTCCTTAACTTGACCAAAGATTGTTGAATACTTTCTATGTCCACTTCCCACCTTTATTTAAAAAAATATTTTCAAAAAATTTTTTTTTATTTAAAGATTATGTTGAGATATTTTAAGTAAAAAAGAGTAAGACCAAAGACTGGTTTAGAGGGGGAGAGAGAAAAACCCTTTCCTTTTTAACCTTCCGATCACTTTATTTATAGGTTAAACATTTTTCTTCATTTCCATTCATCTTTAAGAGAGGAAGGAAGAAAATTTGCATTTTTAAAACCGAATAGGATTACCCCCCCATCATTCTATTTTTGCCGTTCCGTTCTTTATTTTTGCTGTGTTCCTTTCTATATGTTGTCCCGCAGCAAGTATGTAGCAATCTGCGCAGGGTTTTCCCAAGCTAAAAATAACCCCCAAAATGAATAAAATTTGCATAGTTGAGTCTATCGTTTTTCCCCATTTTGTTTGCTAGATAATATTTTATTTGATCTAAAGAGAGTCGATTTTGCTGATTTTTGAATGGCCAACTTAAACTATGAGGGAATCACTTCGTTTAAAAAATTTTCGGTTCTTCAACCTTTTGTACCAGTTTAGACTCTAATATCTCTATTCTAAATAGGGTTGGTCAGTTGGGGAGGAAAGTTGCTAGTTTTTTTCTATTCTCCACCCCAGACTTATAGGCGTTCTCTTATTAATTTTTGTGTTAGGGAAGTAATGAGTGAAAGCAGTGCATAAAAAATATGAGGGAGAGTGGTGACCTTATACTCTCAAAAAAACCTCCAACAAACTTTTTTCCAACGCAAACGGCACAATCTTATCTAGGAAGTACATAAAATTATGACTTTTTTAATTTCTATTTCTTGTTTCATTTACTCATCTCAATCATTTAGAAAATTATTTTTATTTAAATTTTTCACACGCTTTTATTTTTAAAAATCCAGCCTAATTGACTTAAATTTTGTTAAATTTTTATTTAAATCCGCTAATAAACTGGAAAAACTTTTATAGTTAAATTTATAGTTAAATTTTAACTGGTTATATGAATAAAAAATAAGTGAAAAAGGAAACAATTGATTATTGCGAAAAAATTTTTGCTTTAGCTAGTATTTTAACCCACATTCCATTTGATGTGAAAATATTGTGTGTACTTGCACATAGATTTTTTGTATTAATTATTTAATTTTCTTTTTTAATTAAAATCATTTTATTCTTGCTGTTAATCCCCTCGGTCACTACGTTAAAACTCGTTTCATAATTATTGACGTCGCAAGAAATTTTATCATTAGGAAGGTACTTTTTGGGTAATTTTGAACTTTGTATGCCCCCTTTTTATTTTCTCTTCAAATTTATGACGATAAGTGCCCAGCTCCGTGTTAGAACCAAGAGTCCAGTACTGTACTCTGGTTGAGTCTTCCATTAAAATTTTCCATTTTTTTCTTCCCAGTAAAATTTTAGGAAATACGGTGAAAATTTTCAGATAATAGTATGCCAACATCGGCATAACTTCTATTTAATTTGTACGCACAGTACCGGACCTTATGTTCTAACACAGAGTTGAAACAGCCTATTTTAAATGGCTGTTCTGAAACGTCCCCTCCCACCATTTTGTTATAAAAGGGAAATTAATTTTTGTTTTTTATGGTCATTTGCTGGACATTGCACAATTTTTTTTTTTTCAATTCATTCCCTACGCGTTTACTTTAAATTTTATTTTTTTACATTTTTGTCTCACAAACGCGTACATTTATTTCATTTTTAATTTTCAGATCGAATTAGTTTATTTTTCTCGCGTCCTCCCTATTAGTTAATAGTCTTCACTACTCTATTTTATTTTAACAACGAATAATGGCATCTACATTGGAGCAAGATGTAGTCCTTCCAGGCAATTTTTAATTTCTGTTTAGACTCTAATCTTTTATATTTCAGCAAAGGTCACCAATTCTGGTTCAGCCCCAACAGCCGCACACATTGGCGTCTTGTTGAATGGTTACCAAATGGACATCCGTAAAACTGTGCCTCAAGTCTTCCAATTTGAGCTGACTTTTGTTGGTGAGCGAACGGTGAATGTGCAAGGACAGCCAAATGTTAAGAAGCAACAATTTGAGCGTGGGCCGCGTAACGAGTGAGTTTGAGACTTTTAAGAGACTTGTTTTAAACGACAAAAATTTTAGTGAGTCAAAAGAAACCCGTCGTCGTCTGATTTGGGGCCTCTTCCAGCAATTGTTGGATCAGAACAGAGATGTTTTTGGGGACAACAAGAAGACGTTCACATACGACTGCGCGACGTTGCTGTATTCGATAAGTGATTTGGGAATGAAGCCAGGTGCTAAACGTGAATTTGTTCTCAACATTGATAGGGTATTTATTTTTAATTAAAATATAACGGGGTTCATTGTTGAAACGAGAAAAGTATGTGAGACGTGAAAGTTGTTTTAATTGACCAATTTCCCAACAGATTTTCTTTTTTGGATAGTTCCTGGTAAGGTTGCGGGTTTCAAGTCAGGTCGACGTTCGAGTCATTTTTTCGGGCTTCATTTTTATGCGCCCCGGCCTAGTCTTTTTCGGGCCAAAATCGATGCCCGGCTTGATCTCCCGGGTCGGGCCTCTAACCCTTGTTTCTGGGGTTCCCCTATGAATTTCTTTTTATCGGAGTTTTCGCTTTCGTAATATTCTCATTACCCTTTAAAATTTAACCCTAAAATAAAACAAGTTTTATTTTTAAGAATGCTCTTGAGGATCGTGCAAAAGCGTATATCCGCAACACAGAACGTATTGTGGCATATTTGCTTCGAACCGAAACAGTTATTTTTTTGAATATTGTCTTAAAAATAATTTCCTAAATTTAGGTGAACCTCAAAAACGCCGTTCAGTCATATCTTCAAGGTGATCGCTCAGTTGTCCAATTCCTGGAATTGCTTTCCTCACAAAGAATGTTTGAGAAGGGTCAACACTACTCGTTCGGAAATCGATTGTATGATCAAGAGAGTGCTGTGCAGCTGCAGGGCGTCCCACAGATTTTGAAGAGTGGAATGCAGAAGAATGTAAATAAATTTTTGAATATTTTTTGGTAATTTTAAGTAGGACTGACCATTATTTCCTTAACCTGACTTTGATTTTTTGACATTCCCTGATCCCGCTTTCCGTCGGACCGGGGACTAGACCTACTTTAAGTGCTAAACTAGTCGATATTTAACAGAAAAAACTAAAATTTTCTAGCCAACCTTCAAAATTTTAGGTTCGTTTCGTTGGCGAAACATTGCAGAATGCTATGCCTATTTTGCAGATTGATCGTTAGTTTTTCTAATAATTTTTATTTTAAAATATAAATTTCAGCAAAGAAGTCTGCATTTTTCCCTGGAGTGGATTTGTTGAATTTTGTTTGTGATTTTCTTGGTGTGAACCATCCTGATGTTATTATGCAGAATATGGGCAGATATTTTGATCAGATGAATAAACAAATTAAAGGTTTGATTTTCTGTCAAAAATTTTATGACCAATGAATTTCTAAGGTCTCGTTCTTCAAACGACTCACTTACCGGAAAATCAAGTGACATTCGCCAATTCTGGTTTAACCAACCGCCCGGCCAATGAAATTACGTTTCAACGCGAAGGACAGACAATAAGCGTTGTTCAACACTTTCAACAGACGTATCACTTGAATTTGCGTTTTGGAAGACTTCCTTGTGTCATTCAAAAAGCTGGTCCAAAAGAGTCTTTTTATCCAATGGAATTGGTTAAAATTGTGTATGTTTTATTTTTATGTTAATTTGGGGAGTATTTGGGATGGTTGGAAGAGATTGAGATTTGTGATAAGCCTGGGCCTGTTCCTGGGTTTGATTTTTTGATCTGGGCCTGTAGTCCAGGAAAAAACCAGGAAGGTAAAAAAATGCCTGGGCCTGGACTTTGTGTACAAGCAAGACCCAGGCCTTGGTCCAGGCCCAGCTTGATCTCTGTCAATTCGACAAAATATCCCAGAAAATTTATTATAATTAAATTCCTTATTTTTCATTTTAGACAAGGTCAACGAGTTCCAATTGATAAGCAAACGCCCAAGCTGACTGAGCAAATGATCAGACAATGCCAAGTCCTTCCGGCAGCAATGCAGGAGCAAATAACGATTCAACGCGACCAAGGAATGCTTCAAAATATGAACTCTTATTTCACGGCACACAATGTTCGTATTGATCCGCAGTTGTGCAAAACTGAAGCTTCGATGCTGTTCCCTCCTGCCATTCAATACAACCCAGATCGTGTTGAACCTAGCCAGAATGGAGGTTTTCAAAATTTTCTTTATTTTTGGATTCTATTTAAAAGTCATTTTACAGCCCTTGATTGGAAGTTGATTGGAGGTGGCGCCCAGAATCGTCGTTTCACAAACCCCGTTGAATGGCCAAAGCTTTGGGCTGTTGTTATTCTTCAAAATTGTGTTCAGATGGATCAATGCCAGTGAGTTTTTAAACTTGAACTTTTTTAGAAAATTTTTTATTTGTTTAAAATAAATATGTTTATTAAGGCGCTTCTGTGAGCAGCTTGTTCAAACAGCTCAACGTCGAGGTATTGGAAACGCAATGTTACCACAACGTGTCGACCACTATGCGGAGACGAGCATGTATTATTTTGATAATTTTTAGATAATTTTTAAATTTATTTTTAATTTTTAGTGATTATGTTAGTGAGAAATTCCAATTCTATGCCACTCATCGTTGTATGTTTGTGTTGTTTTTTGCTGATGGAAAAGAAAGGGCACATGCTGGTGATTTCCACCATGTAATGAAATATTGTGAACAGAAATATGGTTAGTTGTTTAATTTAAAGGATTTTAATTTTGTTATTGATTTTTTACTTATAGACATCCTCACTCAACATGTCGGTCCAAAAATGATGTCTAAAGGTGTTGGAGGTGGTGGTGGTGGAGCAATGATTTTTGACAACATTTTGATGAAGACAAACTTGAAAATGGGAGGTTCCAACTTTAACATTGTTACGCCTGATGTGTTTAAGAGAGCAATAAGGAACAATCAAGACGTTTTGTAAGTGATTTTTATTAATAAATTAATTGTCCTGAATATTTTTTAAAATTATTTTCTAGTAGTGAGATTTGGATGGGTGGACGGCGAATGTTCTTTGGCATTGGAATGTCCCATGCTCCGCCGCAAACTTTATTTGAGCGTCAAACAGGAAAAGCCCCAGCAATTCCTACAGTTGTCGGGGTATGTATTTTTTTGATTTTTTCATAGAAAATATTTTTTATTTTTAGATGGCCTATACTACTAGCCGTGAAATGCTTAAACTTCGAGGAACTTATTGGTTCCAGCAAGCTAGGACTACAATCATGAAGGAAGAGCAAATGCGTCCTCTTGTAGATGCAGTCAAAAATGCGTTGTATATTTATGAAACGGAAAATGGTGATCAATTCCCTGAACATTTGATTGTTTTTCGAGGAGGCGCTTCTGAAGGAGAATTTAAAAAGGTTTTCTTTTTAAATAATGAAATATTTTTTTTAATTTTTTAACTTTGAGGTTTCTCGTTGGGAAGGCGGTGCAATTGAATTGGCATGCAAAGAAATTTCGCATGAGCGAAAGGGAAAATTCAACATCCCTGCCATCACTATTGTTGTATGCCAGCGCCAGTCCAACTATCGAGTTTGTTGTTTTTAATTTTATAAATCTATTCGAGTTTTCAGATCGTTCCTGAACGCATCAACAGCCGAGGGAGAGCACCTGAACAGAACTGCCAACCTGGAACTGTTGTGGACAAGGGAGTAATGAATGCTGCGTTGACAGAATTTTTGTTGATTCCTCACAAGGCTCTACAAGTATTTTTTTGATTTTATTTAAATTTATAAAAAAATTTTCTTTTAGGGAACTGCCCAGCCCTTGCGTTGTACTGTCGTGCACGAATTTCGACCACCTCAGGGACCGTCCGCTAGAATGCCACAAATGAAGCTTGAGGAGATCGAGTACATCACTTATGCGTTAGTTTTTAAATTTTTTTTAATTTTATCAAATTTTGACTTTAATTTTTTCAGTTTGGCTTATTCCCATGGTATTTGTGCTATGTCTACAGCCGTTCCCGGAGTTCTCTACTCTGCTGACGAGTTGGCAAAGAGAGGCAGAAACAATTGGAAAATGCACACGTAAATTCTTTTAATTTTTCTTGCAAAATATTCTTTCTCTTTTTCTAGCTCTGATGGGTCCAATGCCCAAGTTTTCGAACTTCCTCCGCCTGGACAAGGTCAAGAAGAGGCCATTCAAGCTTTGGACAACCAACGAACTAGCTACTTTGCAGAAGTCACCGATCAGCTCAACCCAAAAATTCCAACGAAATTTTGGGCTTAAAAATGGAAAAATGCTGAGGGAGGTTTTACTTTTTCTTTTAAAAAAAGTCCATTAAACTCTATTTAAACACTTGGTTTGTTTTTCTTCCCAATTTTTGTTTTAATTCAAAATAGAATTTTCTTTTTTGTTTCCCAAAAAAATATGATCAATTCTCAGAAACACAACAAAACATTTACCTTATTTGGAATATATCTATTTAATTAACATTTTTTCTCTCTATTAATATAAATTATTTTTTTCTTTTCTTTTTTTGAATTATTTTATTTTTTTCTTCAAATTTTTCTCCTTGGTTCGCTTGCCTTATTTTTAAAAAATACAGTCGAGAATTTAAAAAATTTTTTCTTTGGATTTGTCAAAAATTGTAGTTATTTTTGATTTTTAAAAATTAAATTGTTAATCTTTCGACTGTATTTTTAACAATAAAATTTATTTTAATCATCATTTATTTGTTTAAAATCTCTTCAAAAAACTACATACACACTGCTATCTATTTTAATAAAATGCTGCCTTTTTTTATTTATTTACTCGTTTTTTTGTTTTGGTTTAAAAATTGAAAAATCTGATTTCGTTTTTAAAAAAAGTAGGGGGTTTTTAGTGCCTTTAAAAACCTATCTTGGGCTTGGGCAAGTCCATTTTAGTTCTGATTTTTTGGATTTTAGAGATCACTTAAAAAATTTTTTTTTAAAGGTTCACAGGAAATTAATTTTAAGTGTTCTTTCGAAATAAAATTCTAAAATTTATCCCAAGTATTGATGACATGATGCTCTTACAAATAGCTTATTAGGTGTAAAGAATTTGGGGAATCTCCTAAAATGGTCTTTTAACCTTTATATAGAAGTATAGGGTTAGGTAAGGTCTACTAAATGATCAGTTGGATCCCCTCTAAGAAGTTGGATCACACTTGTGTGAAAAGCCTAACTAAAAGTGAACACTCTTTAGTTTACATTTTTTAAAAATCAGATTGACCACTGGGTATAGGAGCCGCCTAACAATAAGTAATACCCCCAATATTGCGTACACATCAGTTTAGTGTGCGATTTTTTCTGCCCTAAAGTTGTAGGGTCTAACTAATTTTATTTAAAAATGTTTGGCACTTATTTAAATTTGATTAAAATTTTTCCTTTCAAAATAAAATTCTTTTTATTAATTCTACCACATCGCCCATATTCTTTCTTTAAATTTTATTTTCTTCACTATAAATTAAAAAAACTCTTAAAAAATTAATTTAATTAATATTTAATTAACGGCCATAAAAACAATTTATTTAACCAATAAAACTGCCTATACAAGCAATATACTATAAATTTATTTTTTCATTTATTTTGTAATTTCTAATTTTTTTTTGCCTTGTTTTTAATTCTCAGGGCCTTTATTTTAAATTTATAATTTAATCAAAATATATTTGTCGATTAGCATTTTAATAAATAAATATTTGTTGGAATAAAAAAAATATTTTTTCATGAATTTTTTAAAGAATATCTGGGTAAATCACAAAATATTTTTGACGGGAAGGATATTAATAAATATCCTAAAGGTTAGGGTTGTTTCAAGACGGGGGGGGGGGGGGGGGCGGGAAAAATTTTCTGAGAGTCATCGGAACGGGGAAAAAATTTTTTTAGTTACGGGGGGGGGGGCGGGCAATTTTCAAAAAAAGTCGTAAATTCCCCGACTTTCGAGGACGGAGTGCTAAAAGTATTTTCTAATATATTTTCTATTGGATTGTAATTATTTCCTTCATAATAGATAAGGTTGACGATTTCCTGGGAAATCTCCGTGTATCTTGAACCGTTATCCGTGTTTTGGACTTGCGGATTTCGACTGCGGATTTTAAATTAAATTGAGGATTCCAGTTGCGTGAGGGGGATATCCTGGTCAGGATATCCCATGGTCAGGCAACCTTAATATTTACTGTAAGAAAATAAATGGACGGATTGATCCCAAAAAATAATAAGAGATTGGGTTGGGATATTTTAAAAAGAGGTCCACGGAGTCATTGATGCCAGAATTGATAAGGGTCATAAACTTTCCAGCTAGTTATGGTTTTGCATTGTTATAGCCGTGCATTATTGTTTCTATTTTATTTTACAAAATTATTTTTCAAATCATTTTAATAAAATTTAAAACATCATTTTCGTCAATTCATTATCTTTCTTTTCTCCTATTCATGACTAACTTTATATACTTGTATTCGATATTGATAAATTTTAATAGTCGATCCATCAGTCGCTTCGTGTATTATAGACTGTTCCAATCTAACCGTTGTTGCTTCTTGGGGGAAGAGAGCATGTTTTTCACTGTAGGCCATTCTTTCATTATTTTGTCCATTTTTAAATTTAACAAAACAAAAAATTTCAGTTTCCATGTCCCCTCTAATATTTACAGTTTGAGTAAAATTCTCAAAATCGTTAAAAGTCTCTTCTCCCATTTGTTGATTAATTAATGATACGTGAGAAAAGAGTGGAGTAACTTCATCTCTTTGATTTTGATGATAAAGTTTGTAGTCAAAAACTTCCATAGTCTCTTGGTTTAGATCGGCAAAGTTACTAAAAATGTTAAGTTAAAATAAGGAAGAGAGTGGGGGGAGGGGGGGGGGCTTTTTTTAGATTTTTCCCCTCCGATTTTTCTATGGCATCAATACATAAATACACTCGATAAAAATCTTATTTGAAGATGAGACAGTCCGGAAACCGTGTGTTTTGATAAAATCTGGTTTTTTGGATTTCAGAGTTTTCAAGGTTTTAGCCCTGAAACCGAGGCCCGGATCATCAAGACACTCAATTTAAGCAATTGCGGACAGCCATGACCGAGACATAGCTTTTTAACCCTCCACCTAGTGAGCGTTTTAAATGTTAGCCAGCTGGATATTTCTCTTTTTTATAGTATCAATTAAGGTTAGCTAATGTGTAGGTAGATATGTAGATAAATATTTTCGTAAGTTTAAATTACTCTGTGTGTTCAAAGGTTATAATTTGATTAGGATTTGCCGGGCCTAACTCAGCACGGGCAAGTTGAATTTCTTCAAATGCAGACTCAAACAAATGTTGACGAAGTTGAACTAAATTTCAAAGATTTAAATTAAATTTTTTTATATAAAGTATATGCTGGCGTTTGGCATGAGACTGTAAACTTTAAAGTTTTCATGAGATTAAAGCAATATTTTTGATAGTATCGAAGGGGTTATTGATCTGGATTGTTTCGGATATCAGGACTTTTTCGGACCAGGCTATCTCTATTTTACGGTGGTTGTTCGATTTTGCGTCACAATTCAGAAAAAAATCTCCCATAGAAATAAGAGTGTCGTAAACGTAAGGGTGCTGTAAAACTCTCTCTCTCCCTCTCTGTGATGTAGAGACTAGTTAAACCAAAAATCTCGCCGTGACTAAAAATCTCTAGGTGGTCCTCTTATCCTTATCTCAACTGATTTCTGATAGGAAATCGACAGTATATTTTAATCAAAACTTGCATTTATAATTGAACGGCATATGTGTTATATTTGCACGATTCATTGAATAATGTTCAAATTGAAGAATAAAATCATTATAGGTAACTGGTTGTGGTTGAGTGTGAACAAATGTTAGATAAATATTTATTAGTTGAATTAAATGTAATATTACTATTTTCATAAGCATTTTACTATAGTGGATCTTGGAATAAAAATTTGAGTTCGAATCCTGTCCAAGCCCAGGACCGGGTTTCTGGGTCCGGTAGTCCGGAAACCGTGTGTTTTGATGAAATCTGGGGTTTTTCGGATTTCTCAGCCCGGGTCATCTTGAAAGAAAAGGATATCGGGCCCGGAAATGTGAAAAGTTTGAACTCTAATAAAATAAAAAAAATACAATGAGTTCTAATCAAGTTAGATATCGTAGTTATTGTAAGGTGTAGGGGATAATCCTTCTTTACAAGGTGGGGTTTAAATTTATTAAAATGACTGCTCGAAGAGGTCCAAAATGAAGTTCCGTAGTGTTTTGTTTCTATTTGTCCTGTGTATGTATATTTAAAAAAGCCGACAAACCTCTGACAAAACGAGAAGATTGAAAAATAAAGAAGGTTCCTACATACCTATTTTTATATTTTGCTATACGAAAAGTTGAAAAGCGTCTCTCAAAAAATATTCGTTTGAACGTTTGAGACGGAGAGAATATTCAAATAATTATTTTTAAAATAAATAAACTTTAAAGAAAATATTTCAAATTTAGAATATGAAAAAGAAATTATAAATTTAAAATATTTTTTGAGCTATTTTAAGAAAAAAAATTAGAGCACTTTTTTGAATTAAAATTTATTTTTGGTGGAAACATTTTTTAATTTTTAGAATTTAAACATTTTTTTCAATTAATTTCTTAGCTAATAATTTTTGATTAGATGGTTATAATTAATTTTTCAAAAGTATTGATAATTTTTTTATTCGCTATGTATTTCAAGATTAAACAAAAACATTTTAGGATTGAGCAGGGCCATCAACTTAACATGTGAAATGAAGTAAATGTTTTCTATACATTTTATTAATAAATTTTATGAATTTACATATGTAACTCGTTTTTAATTAATTTCAAATCTTTTTAAATTCTTCTTCTTTTCTTTAACAAAAATCTTCCGCCTTTATATCCATATCTTCCGACTTTACCACCTTTGGTGCAAAAGCTATTTGATTCAATAAAGTATCAAATAAAACACAATAATTTTGGAAAATATATGTTGAAATTTTCAATTGATTTTCCTTGTCAATTCCCAGTCCAAGTGCACATTTATCTTCATACTTAAAAATCCAAAATAATTTTCGGTACTTTTTTGCCCCTTCCTGAGTAAATTTTTCCTTGATGTACAAAATGGTCAGTACCGGGAATATTATCGGGAATATTCCAACTAATAGTCCCAGGAATATTCCAAGGATAGCAATTCCGATTCTTACCTTAGTTTAACCAAGATAAATCTATTTAGAAATCAACAAAAATTTGGGGAAGAGGGAGGAGGGCTTGAAAAACTTTAAGATGGGGGGGGGGGGACAACATAAGGGCCATAATTGTTTTATGGATTTTTTGTTGATTTTTAACTTGATGTATTTTGGTTCAAATAAGGTAATGACTATCCCCTACAAACTTTTAAGTGTTTCTAACATATATATTTAAATTTATTTACCCCATGATTTGCTATATCTTTTCCAGAAACATTAATTGTTGTCTTTAAATTTTTAAATTTTAAACCAATTGTTGGTTCCCCTTCAGATTTTAAATTAGTACATTTTTCATTTAAATAATAATTATTTTCATCATCAACTAGAGCATTCAACTCCTTTGCAATTTTCTCAATATTTTTAACATTTCCATTTATGACATTGTCTCTAGACGGAGTAAAAAGTGCAAATTCAATATTATTTCCAACATTTATAAGGGTCTCTCCTTTACTATCAACGACTTGATCAACGAAAATAACAATTTTATCAAAGTTTAGATCCTTAATTTCAAATATATACAGACTAATCTCGATTTATTTGAAAGGTTCGGTAAATAGAGGGTGACCATATCGAGAATCAAATTTTAGTAAAAATTCAATTTTTCCAGCTAAATTGAATTTTCCAAAAACCCATTCTTTATTTTTCTAGCAATAAGTTGAATTTGTTTACTTAAGATTGTTTATCTTCAGATCTTAGTTATGTGTTTATATAAGGGAGCAGGCCACCTCGTTCAAAATTTTCGGAATCCGGGATGCCCTGGTACAATTCGATTCAGCATGTCGAGGTGCATCGAACCATGACAGGACGTCTCGGATTCGATCACTTCAAACGAAGTTATATGTAGCTTAGCGGTACTTTGGACTAGCGGTTTATTGGGCGTACACTTTTCCTAATGAGATTTTTATTAACTATAAGTGGGGGTATTGTTTAGATAGATCTCCCACGCTTAGACATCTCCCCCCACTTAGTGGCTAATCAAATTTTAAAGAAAATATTTTATAAAGGGATGTCTAGCTGTATTTTCTTAACTTACATTAAATGTTGCATTAATTGGATTACTCAACGACTTCAAATCGCAATAATTATCAAAATATTTTTCCTCACTATAACAAAAGTCCACAAAAATATTTCTATCAAGATATTCACTGTATATATTACAAATAACCAAAGCAAAATCGACAAAAAATCCCTCCTCTTCATTATTTTTTCTCGAAATTCTCTTCTCTTTATTCAAATGGATTTTCTTTCCTCCTTTGCTTAAAATTTTTTTCATTTTTAAAATATCAAGTTTTCGGCTTTCCAAATTTTTCGATTCAACAAAATTCCAATTTAAAAAGAAAAATAAATAAATGGAGAAAAATAAAATTAGAGGGAAGGCTAAATTATTTTTAATGGACATTTTTTGCTGTTGTTAATTTTTAAAATGATTTTTTAGGGTGTGAATAGCCCTCATTAAATAGGAAATTTTAGTCCGGACTTGAAAAGTGGTGCTATCATTTTTTAAAAATTTTATGAAAAAAGATTAAAGCTCTTTCTAATTACTCCCATTTAGCTTGTTTAGATAATTCTTTATTTATTTTCAAAAGAAAAATTTAAGCTAAAAATGGTCTTTATCAGTTAACTCCCTCTCCCTTTCTTTAATTACTTGCAATTAAATTATAAATTCTTATGTACATACATTTTGAACCAAAACTATACACCCACTTTTTTAAATAGTTAAGAAAATCTTGCAACAAAAAATTAAGAAAAAATAGACCTTTACTCAAAATCGAGATCCTGAAACCTCAAAAATCATAGTAAAGCAGGTATAAGATTCTTTAAAAATATTTCCGACCCTTAAGGATTGTTTTAAATTTTAATTTCCTAATGCTGAAAATAATAATTTAAAAACGTTTTTGGCCCCCTGATCTTTCGATTCAACAAAATTCCATTCTTTATTACTTTTCAATCTTTCCTTGCCAATATTTTTGCGTTGCCAATACTTCAGTCTAACCTCAGTATGATATAATTTCTTTGAGATTAAAAATGAGGTTCGTAAGAATGTAAGGGGTTGAAATGGATATAGAAGACAAAAGTAAAAAGCCAATTAAAATTGGCCACTTCTTTGCACAATTTTCTAAAATTTCTTTTTATTTACCTATTCCCTCCCCCCTCTTCCTTCCCCCTCTTCTTTATTCCTTTTCGCGCATTGCCAATTCCGGTTGAAGAGAAATTATGCGAATGAACTCTAATAAAAACCCTTCCATTCTGAAAAACCCCTCCATGTCTTTTGCAGAATTGTGAGCTTCACATTTACCAGATGGATAGGGTTGATTCAAAAATTATTCAAAAATTATTTTTCAATCCATTTAAATAAAATTTCAAACAATCATTTTAATTAATTCCTCATCTTTATTTTCTTTTCTTCTTCCACAAATTAACGACTAAGTTTATATTTTTGTACACGATATTGTTCAATTGTAATAGTTGATCCATCAATCGCCGCCCTATGCTCAATTGACTGTTCCAATCTAACTATTTTACTTCTAGGGAAGAGAACGTGTCTTTCACTGTAAACATAATATTCTATATTTTGTCGATGTCTAAGATTCACAAAATAAAAAATTTCAGTTTGCATGTTCTCTCTAATTCTTATAGGATGAGTAAAATTTTCAGGATCATCATAATTCTCTCCTTTTCGTAGATTCATTAATGGCTGGTAACCCTGGAGGGGAACAACTTGATTTCTTTGATTTCTGTGATAAAGTGTGTAGGTATAATGTTCAAGAGTATATTCATTTCTATCAGGAAAGGCACTAAAATTTGAAAATATAAATGGTTTTTACCTGTAAAGAAGAGGGGGAGATTATTTTCTATTTTTCTATAAGTTATCCCCTTGGTTCTTAAAAAGTGTTTTAAAATGAGGGTATTTCTGGGCATTCATATTGTAAAGCTTATAGTTATTAATTTCCTAAGGCTGTGCAGTAGGCGGCGTGGTGTAATGGATAACACATCAATCCAGTCTACTGAAGATATTGTTCGCTCCCAGCCGCCGAATAACTTTTGCACTAACTAAACGAAAGAAATACTATAGCTCAGCTGCCCCCAGCAACCAATTTGAGGCTATCTAATTTTTGAGTAAATTCGAGAGCTTATTTACTGTATTTACGTAATTTTAGATTACTTGTCGTGTTCCTCTTCTCTAACTTGAAGAGCATTTGCCGGGCCCATCTCATTGCGGGCAAGTTCAACTTCTGCATATGCAGTATAAAACAAACGTCGACGAAGATTAACTAAATTCCAAAAATTTAAATTAATGTTTGACACTAGACTATCTAGATTTTGTTAACATTAACATAAATACAGTTTGATATCCAAACTTAAATATTGTGAAGTTTAGCCTTTAAGATGATTAGCCCAAATTTAAATTTTTTGAATACTAACGTAAGTACCGGACATGTTTTATCTGTTCCTAGCGGTACCTTAATCGTGCCTTTTTCGCTACTTTCCAGTACCGCGATAGTACCTTTTTCGCTACTTTTTCTACTACTACTACTACTACGAGAAAAATAAAAGTATTTTAAAGGAATGTCAAAACTTTCTCCACAAATTCACTAACATCCCTTCAAATCCTCAGATATCTTCAATTTAGTAGAGGTTAAAAAAATATCGTAGGATTTCTCCTCTACATAGGCTAATATCACAAATTTGGAATTAAAAATATAGGCGGATTTAAATGGATTAAAGGTTCGTAAGAAGATTAAAAGATTTGGTGAAGATAAATGTAAGATATCGTCTAATCGAGAATATTTATAGATACTAAGCAAATGGACAGTATATTTTAATCAAAACTTGCGTCTCATAGTGTACGGCATATGCGTTATGTTTGCACGATTCAATGAATAATGTTCAAATTGACAAATAAAATTAGGATATGGATCTGGATTTGGTAATGGCGGGCATGAAGCCAATTTTAGATAAAAATTTATTAATTGAATTAAATTTAATATTAATATTAGCATAAACATTTTTTCTATAGCATCTTGAAGTAAAAAAATTACTACAAATTTGAATCACATCAGATATTTATGTAGGTATTGTAAGGAAGAGAGGAGATCCAACAGGCTAACATCTGAAAGATTACCATGCGGGGGTAAAGATCTTTTAAAATAATAGGTAAAAGCAGCTTAGTCGTACGAAAGTGATTACCAATAATCATCGAGTGATTAAAAATAAATGCCAGACGGTCTCAGGATCGATGCCAGCCCGGAGATAATCTCTTACCGCCTCTCTTATTCTGATATTTTGTGTATACTGTCAAGTAGCTAAATAGAAAAAGTCAAAGTAGTTGACTTCATCTACTTATTCATGGAATGGAATCAGTAATTCTAACTAGTTCCTAATAATAGTTCCTAAAATTAAGCACCGTAATGTTGTGGGTACATAATTTTTAAAATTAAAGACACTGACAAAAACTTTGACACAAACGAAGAAAATTGAAAAAAGAAGAAGCACCTTACATTATCTATTTTATATTTGGCTATACGAAAAGTTGAAAAGCGTTCTCTCAAAAAATATTCGTTTGAAAGTTTGAGACGGAGAGAATATTCAAATAATTATTTTTTGAAGAATAAATGCTTAAAATATTGTCAAATTTAGAATATGAAAAAGGAAATTAAAATTTTTTTGAGCTATTTTAAGAAAAAATCCAAGCACTTTTTAAGCAAAAATAATTTAAAATTTTTATTTTTGGGATCAACCCAGAATGTCAAAATACCCAGGGCTCGCAGAATAAATTAGAGGTTGAACAAATATTATTATACATAACTAGAGATCTGATTTGAAATATCCTACGAGAATCGTAATCTCAAAAAATTCTAAATCTCGACAATCGAGATTTTTGATCGACTACTAAAATCATGGAATTCTAAAATAATAAGCAGATATATTCGATAATATTCAATTTTGAGATTTAATAAAGTTGCTAATTTCTTCGACCAGGTTTACTCTTGGTTATTGTCGTTGACTTGAATCTACATATTATTAATTTGTAATCGTCCTTTTTGCGTATTTTTGTAATTTCCCGAGTATGAATCGTACATCCAAGTTTAGAGATTTTTAAAACCTTCGCCGGTTTAATAGAATTAATTGAATAATGTTGAACATAATTAAATAATTTAATTATTTTAAAGACCTTGTCTATTCATTTTTAATTAAAGAAAGTCAATTAATAAAGTGCATTATTTCTTAAAAAATAATTCTGAAATATTCACGTGAATATTAAATATGTACTATACAAGGGCGGCATTTATTTTTTTATTTTTTATTTTGACTTGAATCTACATATTTAGACTTGAATCTACAAATTTAGGACAGAAATTTGAAAGAAGATTTATTTATTTAATATTTGAGAAAGAATTGTTATCTAAACCAAATATTTTATTTAAAAGTTAACAACTATTTTTTAAAAATATTTTAATTAAATAATAATTTCGTTAAATTATTAAGCAAAAAATTTAGATGGAACTTTCGGGGTTCCGTCTAAAGTTAAATTCCATTCTGTTTTTTCTAAATCTAAAATTATTTTAACCCGCACCTGTTGTCTCGAAATTTTGTTTTTCTTGTATTTTTAACTTATCTAAATTAGCTGAACCCTTTTTCCTTTTTTAATCGTAAGCAACTTTCCTTTTGATTTTATAAGTTATTTCTGATCTTCCATTTTTCTCATACCTGCATTTTTGTTTTAATTTATTTCCACAACAGAGGTGGGTCGCAGTTACGATTTCCAACATTTTTTACTTCCGATTTCCGAAAAAATTTTGATTACCAATTTCCGAGTTCCGACTTTAGAGGCAGTTCCGATTTCCGGCTCTTCCCATTTCCGACACCTTTGGATGATCCGACCCACCTCTGTTCCACATCCTTTTTTTGCTCTATTTAAACTCTGTCAATTTCTCTTTCGGGGCTCCGTTTGGTTCTTCTGGCTGGCTCTCTCTGGTTCTTATATTGCTTTTTATTTGGCTTGCTTATTCACTAATTGTTGGACTAATTTAATTTGGAAATTAAATATTTTTAATTTGTTTGGAATTTTGTTGAACATATTTTTGAGTTTGAAATTAGTACCTAGGCTTTTATTACAAAATAAGACACACTTAAATATAGTAAATTTAGGACTTTATTTTAGGAAATACGGCAAAATATGGCATAAAATTCATTGTCAGATTAGGTGGGAGTGAAATAAAATTAGAGAAAATTCCAACAAATTTATGTAGGTCCGGTTATATTTTGATGTTTTTGGCTTTCAACATTTTTTTTTCAATAAAGTTACAATTTAAGCAAAAACTAAATAAAAAATAAAAAAGAAGAATTTATTTTTAATAAACATTTTTATTTTAAATATTAAATAATTTTTAGTTTGAT